CACTCCAACCATCAAATTTACAACAGAACCTAGGGGAGTAATTAACTTTTGAATCACACAGTCCCACACCACCATGACCAGCTACTCTTTTTTTTTTTTTTGCTGCCCAGGGCCTCATCCATTGCATGTTAGGCAGGCACTCTACCACTGTATTATTTAATTTTTAAAGAAATTCTTCTGTAGTTTGTGGTGGCAAGATTTTGTACACCTATCAGATTTATTTTAGGCTTTTAATTATTTATGCTATTCTCTGAGGAAAAAAATACCTTCAAGTAAGGTTCTTTGTCACGCCGAGTACTTTGAATTAAAGGAAACAAGAAGTCCCCAGAAGGTCCTGCTGTCAACTTTGTCTCTCCCAATATGAGTCATATTGGGAACCTAGAGAGGTCAGTTTCTCCCTTCTCCCTTGGACACCTTCAGTACAGATAGGAAGTATGCAAATAGACATCCTGACGGGATTCCTTCCACCATTACATCAAACCCTCTCATCCAGTCACATCTCTACATGACTATCCAGCCATTCTTCATCTTAATTCTTCATTCTGATTGATAAAAAAATTGATTTTTTTTCAGAACCTTATTTCTGGAAGTTCCCATGTCACATAAAAATTTAATTAAATAAATCTGTTATGCTTTTCTCTTGCCCACCTGTCTTTTCATGTCATGTCTTTTCATGTTGGATGTGACCCTTATGATAAGTAGGAGAAAGTCTCACACCTTTTTGCCCCTACAACACATTTTAAATAATATTTTAAATTTTTTGTTAAAATTTTCTTTCTATTTTTTTTTTTTTTTTGAGACAGGGTCTTCTAAACACAAACCATTACACACAGTGGTTGATATTTTAAATTTTCTGTTGAATTCCACTTGTTAGCATTTTGTTGATAAATTTTGTATCTATGGTTATCAAAGATATCAGTGTATACTTTGTTCTAGTTGTGTCTTTATCTGGTTTTGGTAACGGGGTGATCCTAGCATCATAAAGTGAGATTGTAAAAGTTTTTCTCCCTTCAATTCTGCAGATTAGTTTGAGAATTGATATTCATTTTCTTCAGAAGTTTGGTACTATTTGACAGTGAAGCCATCTGGTCCTGAGCTTTTCAATGATGAGAAATGTTTCACTATGACCAATCTTTTCTTGTTATTAGTCTATTCAGGTTTTTTATATCTTCATGTTTCAATTTTGGTAGGTCTTATGTGTGCTAATATTTCTCCATTTTTTTCTAAATTTTATAATTTGCTAATATATAAGTATTCATAATAATCCCTAATGGTCCTTTACATTTCTGTGATATTAGTTGTAATGCCTCCTTTTTCAACTCTAATTTTATTTATTTAGATCTTCTTTTTTTCTTTCTTTTTTTGGGGGGGTTAGTTGAGCTAGAGGCCTATCAATTTTATTTTTTCAAAGAACTGTTTCATTTATTTCTGTTCTTATCTTTGGTACATTTTTCCTTCTAATATTTTGCATTTGGTTCATTCTTGCTTTGTTCAGTCCTTGAAATGCATCTTTAGGTTGGTTATTTGAAATCAGTCTTTCTTTCATTTTTGTTTTTGTTTGAATGTAGACAACTTCCCTTTAAAATTCTCTCTTAGTCCACAAGTTTTGGTATATTATTTCCATTTTCATTTGTTTTGAGAAATTTTTCAATTTCCCTGTGGCTTCCTCTGTTATGCACTGTTCATTCAAAAGTATGTTCTTTAGTTTCCATGTACTTATATACTTATTGTCTTTTTGTTGGCTTCTAGATTTATTCTATTGTCATCAGAAAACATACAGAATATGGTTTTAACTTTTTTAATTTGTTAAGACTTGTCACTTAATCTACAGTGTATTCTAGAGAAAGTTTCATGCACTGATAAAAAGAATATGTTGTTCAGCTGTTGGATGGAATATTGTATAATGGCCATCAAGTCCGTTTGATATACAGCATAGTTTAAATTGATATTTCTTTGTTACTTTTGTGTAAATGACCTATTCATCAATGAAAGTGGGGTGCTTTTGATGTTTTCCAGTGTTCTCTTTAGTCACTCACCTCAAAATGCAACTGCACACCTATTACATTGGGCCCTCTTTGTGGATGAAGAGGTGAGTTCTCCATATCACTAGTCATTTTAATCTTGAGAACACACTGTTTTTCAGTCATCCACCATTGAAGTTCAGCTGAATTGTTTCTAGTTTGAGGATATTATGAAAGAAATAAAGCTACTATAAAAATGTGTGTACAAGCTTCTGGGTGAGCAAGTTTTCACTGCCTTCATTCTCTATGATCAGAAACCTAGGAGTGCAATTATAGAATCCTGTAGTAACTACAAGGTAAATTTTAAAAGAAATTATCAAATCATTTCCAGAGTGGCTATACCATTTTACATTCCCACCAGCAATGAATGTGTAATGCAATTACTGCACATCCTTGTTAACATTTGACATTTCCACTATTTTTTATTTCTAGTAGGTCTGTAGTAGCATCTCATTGTAGTTTTAATTTGCATCTACCTAATGTCTGATGGTGTTGAACATGGTTTACCTGACATCTGTGTGTTATTTTTGGTGAAATGCGTGTTCATATCTTTTGCCTACAGTATGATTGTAATGTTTACTTTTTTCCCTGTTGAGCTTTGAGACTCCTTTATATGTCCCAGATAATGGTGCTAGCTTTTGGAATTCAAATGTTTTCAATATTGAAGACAATTTATCATGTTTTTCTGTTGTGGAGTGTACTTTTGGTATCAAGTCTAAGAACTTTTTGTCTGCCCTAAATCCTGAGAATTTTCTCCTCTGTTCTTTTCTCCTCCATTTTGTAGCTTTACATTTTTTTATTAGGTACAGTATTTCAGTGGATGTCTATTGGTGTTGGTGGTTTTTGTTTTATGTAGGTTTTTAGGTTTGTTTCATTTTTACCTATAGATGTTCAATTACTCCAGCACTAATTGTTGAAAATCATTTGCACAATATCATATGATTTTTGCTGGTTAAAATTACCTGCCTAATTCTATTTCCCTTGTTTTAAAAGTAAGATATTTGGATTACAACCAGATGGCTGTTACTCAAGCTGTATTACCAGAAAGGCTTGATAGCAGCAGAGACCACAGTAGGAGCAGCTGGTGCTATTCTTGCCTTTCTGAAGTCCTCTGGTGCTACTTTTACATTTTGTGGATTTGAGGATCTGACAGGTAGCTGGATACAAGGTTCTCACTGCTGAAACAAATTTTGAGACCAGTTGATCTGAAGTCTCTTTGTGCAGCGATTTGCTGTGATTCTAAATTGTCCATGTCAGAATTCACTTTCCCATTATACATCGGCTTTCAGGCTCCTCCTTTACTTTCTGGTGGGTGTACTCATATGAAATGTTTCCCTTGTTATCCTATCATCTCTTTTTATAAATATGATGGGCTTTGTGCAATCAATTATCTTACACTTCATAAATCAGTTGATGATTATATGTCAAAAATTGAAAATGTGTTAAATATAGTAAAATTTTGCAGTGGAACCATCTGTTTCCTAGAGCTATGATGACAGGAAGAAAGGATAAGGTAGCAAAATCACACATAAGCCATGAACCAACCTCAAGCTTTACAGATAACCAGTTTTCTCTCACCATCACCTGTCCGGCTTTACTAGTTTTCACAAAGCATTTGCATTGACTTTTAGGCAGTTTGCAAAGGGTTACTTTCAACAGTTTTTTGAGATATCAAATAACCCTATATTTTTATGCCTATCATCGAAACAAGGGCCTTACCCAAAGGTACAGCACTGACACGTATCAAGTAGAAGACTGAGAGAAGAGCTCACATATTAATGCCTGCCCAATTATTTTCCATTTCTATTTTAGGATATAGGGGCTTAGGAGTATATTTTCTAAAAGATGGCATACCATAGCTTTTTATCTGTAAAATGGGATAATAAACTCAAAAAGTTGTGAGGGTCTTTATTTCTTTAGTTAAATAGGGTTAATTGAGATAGTACATCTGAAAAAATGATAAATTTCAAAGTGTTGCCTGTTCAGAAGTTGGTTATTTTTATATGCATGACTATAATAGGTCTCAGATCCCAGTAGACAGCTGTGTGTTCTTGTTGGTTCCGATTCATGGAAAATGTGTTTGTTTACATCACAGTGTATTATCTCTTTTTCCTTTGAGTACTCATGTGGCCAAATTGTGAGCTGCCGTATTAGTATGACTCAGACATCTTTGAGAGGGTGGTTAGAGTTAATGGTTTCCATAAAGTTGTTTTAATAGTTATTTTTCAACAGATGGACAGCTTACATTTGGCCACGATTCTGTGACAGTGTGATGATTGAAGCTTTTCAACAGATGGCATACAAATACTTGGGAAAACACCCTTCCATTATGAAATGTTGCAAAAAAAAGACTTTTAAAGTGCCAGAAAAATAAAAGTTGTATTCCCAAGTCCTTAGCCTATGCTATTATAATCATAATTTAGATAATTTGAAAGATTCCATTTCTGGCACTTGGATTTATTTTGTAAATGAGCATGCATATCTGCATCACAGTGAGATGATGAGAACTACCCTGTTGTCAATTAGCAATTCAGCATGCACATAACATTAAACCTCCCTTTGATTGTGGATAAATGTATATAACTTTCACTGGGTGAATTATTCTACTTCTATTCCACATGTAGAAAGTGTAATCTCATAAAAATCAACTGTCAAGGACTTATATGTTCTTTCTGAAGAGTGTTGGTTTAGGAGGGAAGAAGATCTCACCAACTTTGAATGTTCCAACATACTCATCCATGTGACGGACTCCCCCAACTCCAAATTATCCCAGTTCTACCAATGACTACCTTGAAATATTCTAGAATCAGTAAGTGAGGAATCAGAAAATAAATGAGGCAGAAAGTGGAATGGTGAAAGTCCAAGGTGGCATTTGTGATTGTTACAACGGCAAAGGGTATCTACTGATATTTAGTGGATGGAAGCCAGAATATTTAGACATGCTACAATACACAGCACATTGCTGAACAAGAGAGAAATGTCCCATATCCAACATTTGCCTGAATATCTGGCTGGATATCCATCTGTGCTTGGAACCTATCTCTGTTTAAAATTAAACTACAAAGTAAGTTTTATAATACAAGATATGTTTTTGAAGAATCTTCATGTTCACATAATATTAGCATCTACCCATACCTCTACTCCTTGATTTTACTAAGTAGCCTATGAGCTCATGTTCTTGAATCCTGGCATTTTTATGCTAATTAAGTGTAAGCATATAGACATAGTATGATATCTTTTAGTTAGACCTGTACTGAGCATTTATGTAATAAAACAGAAGTATCTTACACATTTACTTTCCTTTCATTTTCCCTCTATGATAAACAGGACATATTTTAATATTTAATATTTTTGAAATTTTATGTATGTTAGATTAACCATGAATTTTGAGATTTAAATAATTATAAAATGCTTGATCTGCTGAAAATGATGAGGATGAGAAAAGCACTACTACAGAGAATTAATGAAAAGGTGACAAATTTGTTTTGGATTTGTCTAATTGTGCACACATAATTCAGTGTTGGAATCATTCAAAGAGAAGAAAAGTGACATGAGCCTAAGTAATATGGAAGGTGGTCTCAATCAAGTTCATATCCCTCTGATTCTGTATAAGTCTTGTTAAGTGAATTATCAGACACACAAGCTTTAATATCACATGCTTTCCCTTATAGGAGAAACCCAAATTATAAATGAGCAAAATAAAAGATAAATAATAGGAGATAGGGAGAGAGACCTTTCTCAAAGGGTAAAGGAATCAAGAGAAGGAGGGAATGGAGAGGAAAGAGGGGGAAAGGGGATGAAAAAAGGAATTTCTACGTGTTGTGTACATGTACCAACTCCACACAAGGAATGCAAATATCACGCGCTACAAGCATATACTAATAAAGAAAATGATCTGAATAAAACCTGATTCTCTTACAGCCAGTTGTACAGCTGATTGTTGTGTCTGTCACTGCAGATGGCATTTAATGACTGCTTCACTTTGACTTACCCTGGAAACCCCTACCCAGGGGACTTGATTGAAGTGTTCCGTCCTGGCTATCAGCACTGGGCCCTGTACTTGGGTGATGGTTATGTAATCAACGTGGCTCCTACAGGTAAGGCCTGTTGCCAGTTGCTCCTGGAAGTTTAAAGTTTTCTCAAAATAAGAAGAAATAACGGACAAAATAAAACAAAAATAAAATGTGGAAAGTAGATAGATCAAGTGAATCTAGGTTTAGAGGAGATAAGACTGAAGTATCATCCAAGAAATCACAAAGGCCAATTAATGTTAAAATTTAAAATCTTTATACTTAAAAATCACAATTAAAATAAAAACTAATGTCCTGCTGGAGAAGATATTTGCCACATACATGAGTAAGTTTGATATCCTTATAGATTACTCAGATGATGATTTGATTCATTCAATACCTTTTGATATGTTACCTAGGATGTACTGAACACTCTTTTAGGACTAGGGGTTCATAGAAATTTCCTTCCATAGTGAAATTTATATTTTAGTATAGAGAGAGAACCAAGAAAAAATTACCAAAGTGAGTGTTAAAAGGGAGATAAGCAATGTGGAAAAAATAAATCACCATGTCCTTCTGCCATGATGTTCCTGCCCTGCAGTCAGCCAACCATGAACTGAACCTTCTGAAACTCTGGACCACAACAAACCATTCTACCTTTAAACTGTGGGTATCTGATATTTTGTCTAGCAATAAGAAAGCTGACTAATACAAAAAATTGGTACTAGACAAGTTGATGTGCCTATAGCTAACTATATGGTTCAGAAGCCTTTGGAACTGGCTTGTGGGAAAAGTTTGGAGAAGTTTAGAGAATCAGCCTAGAGAAAGCTTAGAAGGTTGTAATAGGTAGGCACTGTCCTTGAAATCTTGAAATTAAGTATTCAGTAAAAATTCAAAAGAAAGTAACATTTGAGAAAGCACTTGTTCATCTACATTGTGCCTGCAGTTTTTACAACTGGAAGATAGTGCTATCTTCCTAGTTCCCACTGTGAAACTCCATATTCCTGCTTCCTCCTCCTCTATGAGTGAGTTTCAAGTTTTGAGCTTTGATCCTGTAGATTGAAATTTAATTTCTCTCTATTGTTAATCACTGTGATATTTTTCAAGCCAGTTTACTTCTCTGTGGTCAATTCCTTCATGTTTCCTCCTAGTTTTATATAATTTTTTAAAAGGTTTAGCAATTCTGACTAGGATAGATATGTTTGGAATGCATAAGAACTTTCCATCTGTGATGCTAACTGGAAAACTCTGCTCCATTGGAAAGATGATACACAAAAGAGTAACAAAAACCTTTGCTTTTAGTCATTACTGTTATGGTTTAGAGCTGGGGTGTCCCCCAAAAGGTTCTTAAGTTTGGAAGGTGACTGGATCACGGGGTACTATCCTCATCAGTAGGTGAGTCCACTGATGAATCTATAGCCGAATGTCAGGAAGTTGGGCCCATTTTGAGGCAAGTCACTGGGGTGTGACCTGGAAGTGTTTATCTCCCTCTCCTGTCCCTGACTGCAACGACATGAGCAGCCTTCTTCTGCATGGGCTTGGAGTCTTTTGCATGCTGCTTCTGCCTTGGAGTCAGCTGACTGTAGACTGAAAACCTGAGCCAAAATGAACCTCTCCTTTAAGTTGTGGCTGGTGGATATTGTGTCCCATTGACAAGAAAGTGACTAAGATAGTTACTAAAAGAAAAAATATTTTTAAATGCTGGTTATGTAGAGACTTTTCCTCGCATGAGTCACCTAACTGTGAGATGCTGTTCACATGCATCTTGGTCAGATGCTAAGAAAGAACTGCATCATAGAAAAAGAGAGCAGTAATCCTATCTGCAATGTGCTAGAAACACATACAAAAGATCTCTTATACTCACACTAATCTACAGACAACTTGTTTCCCAAGAACAGGTCGAAGGTTCTCGCCCAGTTTATTCTATGAGACGATCACAAAGTTTTAGAGCTTTTCCCAAATTCACACTTATACATTGTTGAATAGTACTGATAACATTTGCAGAATGAGTGCTTATGAATAATGAGATTAAGTGGGCTTCCTTTTGAGGATACATAAAGACCAGAGCTAGATTTAAGCATCCCAGGGTCTCAGAAGTCTTTCAATGGCATTGGAGCTCACTGGGCTGGGACACTAACCCTCGCTGACCAGAATTCTCCCTGTAGATGGCATCCCTTCAACTTTCACAAGCGCCAAGTCTGTGTTCAGCACAAAGGCCCTGGTGAAGATGCAGCTGTTGAAGGATGTTGTGGGAAATGACACATACAGAATAAATAATAAATACGATGACATGTACCCCCCTCTTCCGGTGGAGGAAGTCATTCAGCGGTCAGAGTTTGTCATCGGATGGGAGGTGCCGTATGACATCCTAGATAACAACTGTGAGCATTTTGTGACTTTGCTTCGCTATGGAGAAGGAGTCTCGGAACAGGTCAGTTTGCTTTAGGGGGCACAGTATTCTCTTACCTTGAGGCGGCCGTAACTGTAAGCTATAGTAAGGTTTTCTGGACTCAAACAAAATGAAAGTAACACGAAAATATGAAAAACTGAAGGATAAAGAAGGAGATTGAGTTGTTCAAGTTTGTACAGCAAGTGACTGACCAATGTGGATACACTTAGTTTGGGGCTAGAAATTCACCTTGGGGATTTGAAATAGAACCAAGGCACAGCTTTCTGGCAGTTTTATTGCCTTCTCTTCTTGAAAATGTTCCTGTTACCCTGCCATACAGCAAACTCAAATCAGTAACCACAGGTACTGAAGAGAATAAGCTAAAAAGGATGTTGACTTTTTTGAATGGGAGTTCATTTGCCAGTAACATAGACTGTCAACCTGAGATTCTTTTCTAGTAGTGGACAGAGGCCAAATGATGGCATATCCTGCTGGGTTTGTATATATTTTCTGTTTCCTTGCAATGAAATGTTTTCAATGCAATGTTGTGTTTTTAAGTAGATCTTTTCATTAATTGTGCTTTTGGATGAATTTGAATGGATTAATTGACTTTATAGTGCATCACAAATGTACTATACAACTGTTCTTATCAGCATTTTGCAGTAGACCAGATTCTCAACTAACTGCATGCTTACTTCACTTGCCCTTACCTTACCTGTTGTTCCACCAATCCAATTCCATCATTGATGTTTTAAGCTGCAGATTTATCAAGGTGATATAACAGAATGAATATATAAAACTACTATCTGACGAAATCCTCTTCATCCAAAATACATAGAACATGTTAATTTTTAAAATTAAAATATCAAAAGTAATTTCATAGCTAATAAAATTTTTATAGCTAATAAAATTAATGGAATTGTTAACCTATAAATTTTTTTTAAATTAGGAGAATAACACCATAAAATTTTAATAATATTTTGAAAACTCAAATTTATTCAAGACTTCCAGAATTTTTGAAATGTGGATCTAGTATATAAACTTTTAGTCTCAGCAGTGAGGTTCAGTACTTCTCAAAAAAGCTTGAGGAAATGGGAGCTAATACATAGTGAAAGAAAGTATACATTTGGTGCTATCACTAGGAAATAATTTAACTGGAAATTCATTGTCACTAAGAAACACATTAATGTAATGAATGTTTTACTCATACATAACAATAAATTGCTTCTGACCTAGAACACAGAGGCTACACAAAAATTTCTCCTTACCTTTGCATTGGAAACTAGTGATACAGCCAGGAAGTAGGCACCATCCCACTTCTTTTCTAATGACAAAGTTTTTCACTGCACCCAGCAGTGTTTTATTATTTATTTATTTAAGGATTATAAAATGGAGAGGTATTGGTCAAAGGTATAAACATCAGTTACACAAGATAAATCAGTTTGGAGATCTAGCATGTCAACAATATTGTGGTATGTACCTTAAATTTTGCTGAAAGAATACATATTAGATGAAGTGTCCGTAACACAAAAGGAAAAGAAAAAAAGCACAGAAAACAAAACAAAATTACTACAAAAGAAAAAAAACCCAACAGAAGTGGTGGGAGGAAACTTTTGGAGGTGATGAATAAGTTTTTGAACACTTATTGTGATGAGGATTGTATGGGTGTATGCCTATCCCCAAACACACCAAGTTGTTTATATTAAATGTCTGCAGCCTTTTGCATGTTATTCATACTTCAATAAAAAACATTTGCTAAATTAAAAATAGGTTAAATTTATCTTCTTGCTTTGACTCTAACTTGTTATTCACTATCTTTCACCTTCTAAATCCAGACTCCAGATCCAGGAAAGATAATCATGGTAGAACTTGTACCATACTTGTACGAACCACAAGGTAGAACTTGCCTCCTACCTCTTCTGATGATGATGTTGTTGCAACAGCCTTAAGAACCTACCTAAGCCCCAGATTTTGTTGACATTAGCTTCACTACTTACCTGCTGAGTGATCTTGGGCACACTATTTTTCTGTGTTCTACTCTGTACATTGAGGTTGTTTTAAAGGTTATAGAAGACATTTGAGGTCTCCTTCAGCATACTGCTTTATAATTTCCTCATTTTCATATGCAGCATGCCTACAATGGATATTTTTTCAATTACAGTATATTTGGAATTTTATGAATCTTCATTAGGCTCAAAAAAAACAAACAACAGAACTAAGGTTACTTATCAGTAAACTAATGTATTACTACTAATTAATAGCTAGTATTGGATTCATTCATTTTGGGAGGTTCCCTTAAGGCTTTGGGAAATTAGGCTTGAAAATGTTTTCTTGAGAAATGGCTATGTATATCTCCAATTTAAAAAGTTATAAATGCATAGAAATGATTAGAAGGATGGAAAGATTTGGTTCCATCTTTTAATTTCTTGGTGCTTTTCTGTATTTTTAGAAGTTAAAAGATAACTTGTAAAGCAAGTTTTAGGATCACAGCAAAATGGAGGAGATAGTACAGTTTTCTACCCTCCATATAAGCATATAATATCCTCTACCATCAATATAACATCAGTGTGCTATATTTCTTAAAATTGATGAACTAACTTCGACAAATCATCATCAAAGTCCATGGTTTTACATTATGATTCACTCTGTGTGTTGTATATTCCGTGAGTTTGGACAAATTTAAAATGATATATATTCACCATTATAGTATCATAGTCTCCATGCACTCAAATTTTATCCTCCTTATATCTATCCTTTCCTTACTCCATATCCTGGCAACCACTGAGTTTTTGTTTGTTTGTTTGGGGTTTTGGGGGGGGGCGGGGGTTGCTATCTCTATAGTTTAGCCTTTTCTACAATGTCATAGAATTGAAATCAGGTAGTATGTAGCCTTTGGATGCCGTAACATTATGCCTTCCTATGGGTAACAAATGAGAGTTTCTGCTGGTCCACATACTAGCCAGCATTTGATGCTGTCCATATTTTGGATATAAGCTATTTTGATAGGCATATTGAGATGTCTTATTGTTTTAGTTTGCAGTTACCTAGTTATATGTGGTATTGGGCATCTTCTTATATGCTTATTTGTCCTCTGCATATCATCTTTCTTTCATTAATTTATTGATTTTAGGTATTCAATATGCTGACATTCATTATTGGGAATTTGTATCTTTACATGTTGTATCTTGGTTCTTATTTTCTTTCCCCATTCCCCTGCCCTCCCTTCAACCCCTGCACCTCTCCCTATTCACAAAGACTTTGTTTCCATTTTTTCCTTTTCTTATATCATCTTTAGTGATGTTGTCTCTTGATTTTTTTTCCTTCTTTCTATTGCATTTTTCATCTTCCTGTTGAATTTTTTAGAGTTCTTTGCATCTTGTGGATAACAGTCCTTTATCCGATTTATCTTCCACAAATGTTTTCTTCCAGTTCGTGGCTTATCCTTTCTGTACTTTTCGAAATATATAAAAATAATGTTTTCTTATTGTTAGAGTACAGACAAGTCATCAAGATGTGTCTAGGTTTGTATGAGATGGTAACAATTTTGAATATGCCTGAACAAGCCAACACACGAATACACCCTGCCTGTGCTTCCATGCACCACAGCTGCCTTCAAGCCTAAGGGAAAAAGTTTTTGATCAACCCTGCAGGTATCTGTACACAGGCTCTCCAGATTCAGCTAATGTTTTGCTGGGCATGAACAGAGCCTCGGAATGAAGCCTTTATTGCGCTCCATAGACATAAAATCATCCAAAAGTTAAAGAATGCAGAGTCAGATTTGGGGGACTTTATCATCTTAAGTAAGTCACCTGCTAAAAGCTCCTGTGTCTACTGGCTCACCGAGAACATCCTGGCCTGTCACAGTCCTGCAAGTCAGATCTCATTACAGGGGACTCGGAGGGATTGTCCCAGTTACATGGGATTTTGTGATCTAGAATGAGACTTGAATTAAATGAGTAGTTGGGGTTTGGGACAGTTCAATGCTCTGCTGGAATGATGTCTGCTCTGCAATCCCAGGTACTTCGGGCTTGGGATCGAGCTGCTCATCCCCTCCTCCCAAGCCTCCTCTACTTATGACATTTCTGTAATTTTTCTAGAGGCTGAAAAATACCTACTCAGTACACCTTGCACCTAGCTGGGGCCATCCTACCCCCACCGTCCTGAAATTCCCCTAGGCCTCTACTCTGCCAGCACGTGACACTTCTGTTTAAAGACACTTATTGAATTTCCGGGTTTTTGTTGCCTGCCTCATTGTTTGCCTGTATGGGCCCACTTGTGGATCTCAGCAGCTACCTGGAATTGTACTAGAGTTGGGCTTGGTTTAGAATCCTGGTCCCCATGAAGTATCAACTTAGCCCCCTCTTTGGAATCTTGTCCAACATTCCGCACCTCTGTACCTCTGTACCTCCTTTTCTCTCCCCAGTATGCTTTGTCGGTAGCTCCATGCTACCTTGAATTCTGATTCTCCCCTTGGGGAATAATTTAGATAGTGGATTAATTAAAATTAATAAATCAAATAAATACAAAAGTAAAATTATAAACTAAAGTAGGCTTTGTCAGGGCTGAGGCCAGGTTGTTCAGTAATAGCATTCCCCCCAGCAGCTGGTGGCTGGAGCAGAGGCAGGCAGTCTCAGTGTGGACCTTTTTCCTGTGGGCTGCAAAATCATGTAAGGCAGTGAATCCAAGCTGCAAATGCTCCTCCCATGTGTCTGTTTCCTGGCCCTGTTTTTTTCCTATCTCCACCTTCCAGGCAAGCAGCAGTTAGACAGGCAGCACTGCACTGCCATCACGTGTGGTGCCAGGCTCCGGGGCGGAAGTCTGTGCCACAGACTGAGGGCATGCTCAGATGTAGCAGGGGTCAGGTGCCAGCTATTGGACTGGTCCCCAGCCATCTGAGGAAAATGTTTTGCTGTATTTGAAAGCCCCGATCCTTGAGTCCCAGAGAAGCAGTGCTGTTTTCAGAATACCTGATGATTCTGAAATATCTGAATGTGACCTTTGGGTCATAAAATTGCACTCAAACCCATGTGGTGGAAGGCAATATCAGGTTGAGGGCTGTGAAAACCATGAATATTCATTAGCTCCCTCATTGTGGTGATTAATCCCCTTAAAGCTATAACTCTCTGAACTCCTTTACGGACAATTGAGTTTGAGAGTGGTTTATTTTATGTTGTCTCTATGAGAAATTAATTTGACGTGATAGTTAACATCAGCATTGACGTTTTGTAAAGTTTGTTTATTAGAATGGAAATTGTGTCAACCAAATAAGAGTGTATGGGTATTTAGCCCAGATCTCCTCCCTGAACTATTTTACTTCTTTAGTAAAACACAAAAGCACATACCACACACACACACACACACACACACACACACACACACTCACACATACTCACAATGAGCACCTTGGTATAGACCCAACGAAAGTGCATTTTCAGGACCCGAGGGGGACATAGGAACAAGATGAGTTTCAGAGGACTCAGCTTATCTCTAACCATTTTGGCGGTACATCCTCCAGCAAATCCTTTCTAACCTTCAAATGCTGCAAAGCAGGAGTCCTGCTACCTCTCTCACTGATATCCTGTGATGATTAGTAACTGCATAGCTTTCAGGAGCTTTAAAAATATGAGGAATACAAGCTTATCTGTATTTATCTGTATCTTGCATATAATTATAAAAATTATAATTTAATTTCTTTATCTTCATACAGAATTTTGATTTGGCATTGAACTTTAAATAGTGAATATATTAAGACAAATCTTCAGTTTAGGAAACAAAATAGTACTTCATTTAAGACACTGAGATGTTTTAAGAATAAAATGTGGTTTTTGCTTCTTGTTTCCTTTTAGGCCAACCGAGCAGTAAGTACTATTGGACTGGTGACAGCTGTTGTTAGTACCTTCCCCTCCCTGGGCTTTTTTCCAAAAGGACAAAGAACAAAATACTGTTAACAATTTATCGAAGAGATATTGGAACTGAAGGAATTTGCAAAGAGGAAAAAAAAACCCTGGAATGATTACTTATTTTCAATGCATCATTATTGTTCCACTTTCTGATGATGGATGGCATGATCTTTAATAAATTGCTTACTGATATTATCATTGAGCCAAAGAACTTTTTTTTCCCTACTTGCATAGATTTGCTGTGGCAGCTTGAATAAAAAGAAGCAGTAGCCTTTTTAGCAAACCAGCAGAGGATCTTAACAAAATTGCATCACATTTTGTCTTCTACTATAAATATTGTTTTCATTTTCCCTAAGGGTGGTTATTTGCCAAAGGAGTGGAGAATCATTTATATATGGTTTTGAAAGGAATGTTAAGAGCTCTGAATTGTTAGAGTTGACACCTAAATTCATATTCCTTTTCTTGTCAAAAATGAAACTGAAGTAGAGTGTTTAGTTAGACAGCTGAAAGAACCTGAGTTACAAACCATGGGATGGGTACCTCCTCTTCCTGCACCTGCATAGATGGGGGATGGCAGAGGAGGGAAAGAGGTACTTTGTTCTCTAAAGGTGCAGATCCAGTGATTTCCCTGGATCTACTTGCTTTTCAGGAGTAGATGAGAGGCCATGAGTGGCATGGGCTGTTATTTCTACAGAGTTCTGTTTTCCCTTTAGATTTTGAAGTATTTCTGGGTTTGACCTTTTTACCTTGGCAAGAGATCATTAAATATTGGTTGAAAATGTCATATTTAGAAAATTCTATCCCACCCCACATTTTTTTTTAGCTTTTTTATGCTAAGTCAAGGAGTGTCATGCTTTTATACTTGCATTTTACTGATTATGTGTTAAAGTAAATGATTTTTTAGTATCACTCCAGTGGAATTCTTGGTGGAAGCAGGTAAGGGAAAGTGGGCCAGTTGTCTTTGCACCAAGATCACATGGAACATTGTGACATTCCCCACGAAGCACACTCCTAGTCAATCACACCCTTCCTGTTCCACTACCAAAAGCATGGTGTGAAATAAAGGAAACATTCCAGTAAATCTGGGGGCAGAGTGTGATGAGGGAACTAGAACATGGTAGATAAAAGTAAACAGAAGATTCAGTGAAAGTCTTAGACCTAGTCAACTGATTGAAATTTTATCCAAGGCCTGGATAGTCTACATGCTAATTGCAGGGTTAAGCACAGTATAACAGAAGGGGCTGTGTGGCATAGACCCAGCTAACAGAGACTCTATTGATCTCCCCTTTTTCATTCTCAACAACTCCTTCCCTTTCTTATGAAGCCAACTCTGGATAATCCCCAAAGTCTCTTTTCTTTCACTGGTCTTCTAGGAAGATGTGAGTGTCTCCTCCCAGGTACCAAGATTCAAAATTACCCTTTTGTTTTTATTCCAAATTCAGACCCTCACTGCTCCTTTATACCCAGTTCTCAAGTAATAGCCAATAAGCAGTTTCCTAGAACTGTCAAATTAGGATAGAACCAACGGCAACATAATGTATTACCTTTTTCCAGGTGTATTTTTTTTTTTCCAGTACTGGGGATCGAACTCAGGACCTTGCACTTGTGAGGCAGTGTTGGCTCCACTGAGCTAAATCCTCAGCCCATGTGTGCTTTTTAAAAAGTTTTACTATTAATACATGTGAATTGGTGCACTTGCTCTTCAATAAAGAATCCCGACAGAGAGCAAATCTTAATCCCAAGCAAGAGATCTGGCCATGGCCAATTATGCCACTGGCCAATGGGAGACTAAGTAGAATTAGGAACCAAAAACCTCCTGAGGGCCTCAACCTTTAAGAGAATTCTGGATGCTCCACTCCAGAAGACAGTCACAGATGTGTAGGATAATGTCACAAACTCCATGATGTTGAAAATCTGTTAAATTACCAAAATTAAATATATTATTCTAAGAAAACCCAGTGGGTAGTCTTAAATGTTTACCAGGAAAAAATTTCCTCTTATGTTCACAGTGAGGAAAGTAGGTAAAGGTAGCAGTGTAGAGAATATATTTGTAAAAGGACTGTCCTTTCTATACTCTACAATGTACTTAAGATTATTTGGATACTTAAAAAATGAGATTAGACACAAAGTTTTCTAGTAGCCTGCAACTGTCATACTGTAGATACAAACATTATGGTTCCCTTCGCTGACATTTTTTTAAAAAATAGATGAACAATATTCAGTTCTGGCCAGATTTTAGTGTTAGAAGGTTTTCATGCATCAATAATAAAAAGAAAATTTTAAAAGCCATAGTTTTTAAAGTGAAAAGCACATTTTCACAGTATATTTCATTATCTTTGTGAATTATTCTGGATTTTCTGCTCACTGGGCCCAAAACAATGTGCTTTGGGAGATGCTAACCTTTGGTGTAGTTGGATAGATATTAACTATGCCCACGCCAGGATTATTTGCAACTAACACAAACTCTCTCGTTGTCCACTTCCACACAACTCTGGCTCACAATATAGGTGGGATTCAATTTTCTAAAGTAAACATTAATTCTTATTTCTACACTAGAACCCTATGACATCAGGGAAAAATCAGGAATTTAATGACCTTAAGAAAAGATATGTACATAAATGTTGCTCTGAAACATATGTAAAATTTAAGAAAACTTGTGACTTTTGATATATTGATAAAATGATCAAAGACCAAGTGTTTCCTTGATTTTCCTTTCTTCTATGATGTTCATACTTCTAATTTCATCACCTTAAGAGCTATGCATTGTACATAATGCAATATAAGGTTTATTAACAATGATAATCCAAGAGATGCACATTTTCTTTCAATAGTGAAAGACAGAGTCAAAACAGATAAATTCAAGGTCCTTTGCTGCAAGATTCACTACGCCAAGAAAAGGGTTTTTGGTTGTTCAGAGAGAGAAAGAAGAGATAAGGATGTGCTAGCCTCACCTCTCCACAATGCTCTAATTTGGAGGAAAAAAGATGATGCTGTGAGATGCATGCAACAACAATTCTGACTACAGTCTTGTCCAGAAATGCTGCTCTGTGGTTTGGCCTCCCAATTTGAGTTTTTCTTTGGGGACCTGTTTAGGGCTTTCGTAGCCTCTGTTGACAAAGAATCCATCTCCTGAATAAATTGTCTTGTTTGTGGGAGGCCAGGTAGTGTCTTCTGCCAGTTTTTTTTGCCACTTCCTGTATGGACTTTTTGAGTAGAATCCAAATTCTTTCTTGATGAAGAGCCAGAGCTCTCGGTTTTGAAGAATGCCATCCTGGAAAATGAGATAGGAAAAAGTCAAGCTCTTCAGGTTCCCCTGCAGCCAGGTGGCTCAGGGCAACTTGTGTACCCCAGTTCTCCATACTTCTCCCTCATGTCCCCTGATTCTTCCCACAAGAAGCCAGCGGCTGTGTCTGCTCACAAAAATCTGCCCAAAGCTTCCAGCTTTACATCTCTACAGATTTCCTAGTTGAACGCTGGCTAGTGATTTACTTAGAATTCTTTTCTGCCAGACTGAAATAATAACAATAATGTACTCAATAAAAAGAAAAGGAAAAAAAACCAAGCCTATTATTCCTGCTACTTGCCACCTGCCATCTACAAGATATCAAATAAATGCTTTTTAAATAAATGGATGGATTCTAGCAGGTAAATGGGTCTTGTTTTCAATTCTTGAATCTCCTTTCCTCCATGTTCACATGCTTATGTAATTCTTACACATTTATAATAATAGAATCTGTCTGATTTTGTGTTCTACTTTTGTATATATTAGAATTTCTGTCATACATAATTTTTATATACCAGTGATATTTTTCAAAGTTTTATTGTGGCAAGAACACAGCTACAGTCTTCTTGATAATCATGTTAAAGAGTGAATAGCATTTTTTAAAGTTGCTGTATATTTCAATACAGGGCTTACATTGAGTATTTTACTTTGCCACCACTGATAATACTAAGATAAATATCCTCCTATCTGTAGGGTATTTTTTCCTATTTCCTTTGGGTTATTTCTTTAAATAGTCTCAAAATGGAATTCCTAAATTAAAATATGATACATTTTATGCTTGTTGTATGTGAGATATTTTAGATCTATAGTCTAAAGTTCGATTGATCTCTTTTCCCTATGGAGTTACTTATATTATATGAGTCTTTGATTTTTTTTTTTTTTTTTACTTTTTTCTTTAAAAAGGAGCACCTGAACCTTTCACCGAGTAAGTGGAATCATTCAGTGACCCTGAGTAGAATAGGAATGGTGTGCAGCAGACTCCGGATAGGAATTGGGGTGTGAGCAGCAGTTTCCCTTCTCTCCTAACTGGGGACTCTCCTGAAGACTGCTTGTCACTCCGAAAGGTCTACTGAATTTTCTAGCTGCAGAGTCACCTGGTCTCATCCAAGTATTGAGAACATTAGAGAAGCACAATACAATCCCTTCATGGAAGCCAAAACGAAAGTGAATCTGATGTTTTGCTTTCCGTGCAGAAGATACCAGGAACATTTTTAAGCAGCTTTCAAAACATTTTCAATCTATCTCTAGGTAATTTTCCCCAAGTAGAAACATGCAGTTTTTAAAAACCTTTAATAGTTAACATTTGAGGCAAATCAAAATATTTGCTCTAAAAAGTGAGCATCCGTTGGACTGAGAATTTTTATTGGTTTATTTCCCCAGGAAAATAATAAGATGTATGCAGAAAGTACTTACTTCTACAAAGAAAGCCACACAGAAGTGGACAAAGCCTGCTACCAAAATTGAAGCTCTCCATGACGTTACGGTTGGGATGAACTGTTGAGGAAGAATTACACCACCATTACACTTGGCATATCTTCCACTTCGAAACGAGCACGTATTGATTATCTTATTTAATTTATATATTTGTAATAACTCTCTGAGTCTGGAGCATGGGCCTTACTTTTCTACTTTAAGATGAGAAAAGTAAAGGTCAGTGCCCTACCCAGGGACTGAGTCAAAGCCAATAAATAAATGCAGAGCCAGAACCCAGAGGAGAATGGATCCCTCCTGGGCTGTACTCCCTCCACGACCTGACAGTGTGTGTAGGGAGCATGGTGTCAGGGAGGCCATGTGAGACAGAGGACACTTAGGAGCTCCTATATCTCCATTCACTTTACCCTTTACACATAGGGGAGGTTTAAGATCAAATCCTTCGTCCACTAATTTTATTGCATCTAGTTCTCCCAAAACAATCAACTTGGAATTCTTTTTTTTTTTTTTTTTCAGAGAAATTGGCGTATGGGTAAAATCCAAAAGGGAAACAGTTGGTAAATATGTTTAGAATAAATGTTTCTGGTTCTAAAACTAATGGCTTTAGGAAAGTCTAACTCCCTCTTTAAAGATTAAAGAGTATGTAAGCATTGATCACCGAATACCCTGATTTAAAAGATGTGGGAGCCATGGCTTTCCATGGCTGCATTCATATTAGAAGGGTAGTTGCCTAGCCCCATTTCTGACCCCACAGAGCAGAACTGTATGGATGACTATTGTGAGTCTCAGCTGCCTGGAGATCTTTAACCACAGAGCCCTCAGTAGTGTCCAAATGTTCACTCTAACTTATCGTCCCTACCCCGATGTGGCTTATTTTGAGTTAATATCGGATTATTTTTCCCCAAGTGGAGGTGTAAAATGCAGCTCCCTGGGTAGCAATTTGTCTGGAGAAGGCAGACCAGCTCTAGGTGGAGGACCCAGAGTACTAAAATGTCACTGCTGCCACCACAGTGGCGAGCTCTTCTGCAGGCTTTGGCTTGGAAGGTGCTTCAGTGGCATTGCTGACTTTCACACCAGTCTCCCCTCTTAGTCTCTGAACTACTTGAGAGCAGTGATGGCATTACATTCAAGCTTGTGACCCAGGCACCAAGCATGCTGTGGAGCTCCATCATGTTTGGCAAATGAATGACAATTTGAGCTTTCATTTCCAAGCTGCTTATGGCTCCGTGGCCTCTCTGCTCTCACGTAGAGTCCTCCTGTCATCACTTAATTGATCCATCTAAAATGCCCTTCTGAAAAACCTGCAATGATTTCCTTCGGCCCCCAGCTCCAAGTCCAAACTTCTAGCTTCCTTGGTCCATCCATGCCTTCCTTTGTTCTTCCTTGCTGGTCCTCATACTCCACAGCCTACCGCCTCAACTTTAGCGAATCTTCTAGCCCATCTGTGAAGCAAGCCTTGCTTTTGATTTTTATTCCTGCCACCTACATTCTTTACATTGCGAGGACAAAGAGGTTCTCTCGGCCCCTCTCTGATTGTGCTGAGGTCGTCTTCTTGGTCTGGAGCAGCCCCACCTCCTGCCCAGCAACATCCAGCCCATGCTTTTGCACCCTGAATAAGGTGCGTCCCCTCCCTGAGGTCCCCATGCAGCCACAGTCCCCGGTGACAACTCCTTCCCTTGTCCTTCCTGCATCCAGCTTTACACTGTCTTCAAGCACAGTTGGCATCTGATGGCCACACCTTTGTTCCACCTCAGTGCAACTCATCTTCACAACAAAAGTGTGCCAGAAATTCAGGAGTGAATCTTTCCCTTCCTTTTATACTCTCATCATACTGGGTACAAGAATGGGTTCAATAACTTCATCATGAATTTAATTTTAACTGTATATCTTGGCTTGGATCAAATGATGTTCACTGACTTAAAAGTCCATGTACTCAAAGTCTGACAAAGCATGACTGGCCTATAAGTCCACTTTTTCTTTCCTCTACAGCTCCATTACTAAAGAACTTTCACTACATGCTTTAAAAAGTTAGACTTGGAGAAGTATCGTATTCATGCACTACCTGTACTCCATTAATATAACAGAATAAGGTATCTAAACACAATATTTCAAGTGTCAACAAGATAAATGCACTTAAATAATGATAGTAATGATGTGAAGGCATATGTAAGACTCAGGAACGTTATTTACTTTTCTGGTTAATAGAAATATATTTAGCAGTCAGACATAATGCTAAGTGAAATAAATCAGACACAGAAGGTTAAATACTGCATGGTTTCTCTGATACCAGAGACTCAAACTACAAATAGTTTAAAAAACAATATAAAAGAGAGAGGGTGGCAGACAGGAATGTAGACTGTGGAGATCGGGAGGGGACCTGGGGAAGCTGGGAAAGAGGAGGGAGGCGGGAGGGGGAGTAAACATGATGGAGATGTGACATGTACACAATAGGCATTGATTTCCCAAGCTAATGTGATTATTACCTATCTCAAACACATGTTGATAAAAAATGAAAAAGCTAAAAAATGAAAGAAAGTAATCTTTAAAAATATTTAGTTGACAAATGAAGATTGAATGTGTTCAAAAATATTTAGTGATTGGAGAGATGATGGCAACAATCAACTTGCAAATTATAATGGATAATGAATATGATCCAGGGCACATTAAATCATATGAGAGGTACAAATAAATAACACTTACCTCCATCCCTTGGTATATATCTTGAAAATCAGAAAACAGAATGAAAATTGTCAGGCCCAAGGCAGATATCAGCAGAAACGAAAATATATCTGAAGAAATATCAAATATTATTTTTAGATGCTAAGAGAATGTTTCATATAATTTGGCACACAATGCAGAATCAGTTATCTTTGTTGGGTAAATATTGGATATAACTTCAGATGTTTTAATGTATCTTCATATGTTTTACAATATGTCCTAACACTTATGAAATGAAGGTGATATCTTAAAATCTTTCCTTATAGGGCTGACTGTAGAAGTCTGTTCATGAAATGCATTGTAGTAAGTTCCATAAGGGAGTTACCTTGCTGAGGATTCCAGGGGCTGGGACATCCTGTGCTGACCACCTGACTGGCCACCAGAAAGACCTTACTACATTATCGCCACCTATCTAGCACTTGGTATATGGTTGGGACGATCAGCCTTCCGCATCTCATTCATTGCTGTCAGGAGAATAAAGCCCAAGGGTCCATGATTGTCACTCTAAGCCTTCCACAAGCTCCTTCTTTCTAAACTGATCTCTGCAGGCTCTTCCTATGTGCAACAGGAAAGTTGCATACCCATACCCACACCCACAATACCCCCCACTCCCACCGAGACCCAGCTCTCAGCCTCTGAGCCCTTGCTTACAAAACACCCTGAGTAGACACTGTTTTTCCTCTCTTGGCACGTTTCCATTTTTTTCCACTTAATGACCCCTGGTCCAAATAATCATTTTGTTTTCAGAGACTCCCTAGTCCATCTTTACAAATTTTATTTTATATGGTATATAGCATATTCACTTTACATGATCTTCATTTATCTATCAACTAGGCTGTGACCACTTGAAAATGGTTTTGTATTTGAGTCTCAGAGATTCTGACTTGAAAAAAATAAGTGAGGCACTATCATGTGCATTTGCCAGAACCCTTCTTTGCAAACTGCCCACGTTCCTTTACTTTGGGGAGATAAACTTCCTGAGATGGCCATGCCCAAATCACTGCTTTTATGCTTGCCAAGTCCTCCCACTCCTCTGTTGGAGCTTTCAGTAGAGCATTTTGTAAATGGTGCCTTAGAAATATTTCTGATAAGATTATCACCTTCAGGCCAAAACACTGGAATTTAATCATCATGACTGTGATGTCGATGATTCTTACAATCCTCATAAGCTATACAGAAAAACAATCAACAACTAGGTCTTTTTTCCTGATACTTTTTTGATCTCTTTTATTCCAGTGTTGGTGATCTACCAGTGCTTTCTCTGCCCCATCTTGATTTCTGTACCAACCGGAAATCAAAGGCAACTGCTTCTGTGCAGCAGGCTCTGGTTCCTGAAGCCACTAAACTTTTGTTTCCACCCTTGGGTACCTGTGCCCATACTCAATGTCCATCCATGCCTCACTCTGTGATCAGAGCTTGGTGCTGCGCCTGTCAGAGGAATGGCCAGGCTTGTCTGGAACAGATGTGAGGCAGAGAGGAGAGAAATGGGAACTGCAGCTCCTAAAATAAGGCAATCTGGCCAGGAGGGCAAAAAGAAAATCCCAGCGGATGGCTGTGTGGTTTTTTCATTTACTTCATTGTTTGAGAGTCCCAGAGACCCAGAAGCTGGGAAGAAGAGGATGCCTCAAATGTGCATCCTGCCTAAGGACTGATCCTCACTAGCAACTGGCCTGATGCTTTGTGCACCCCTTTGTCCATAGTCTAAGGACTCTGAAGCTGCCTCTCTTCTTTGGGTCAATGTTGGTTGAAAACGCAATGGAGACTTGAAGAAGGTGTTTCCCCTCCCTGGTTAGGAGCTACCAATAAGGAAACCGGGAAGAGTGGGCTTTCTCCATGCAGTGAATTTAGGAAGGCAAGTCCTGTGCAAGCCAAGCTTGTGTTTTCAAATAAGGAAAGGGTCAGTGACTATTCACACTTGCTTCTGTAGAGAAATTAAATCTATGTCTTTTCTGTATCTTGTCATCAAAAAGTTGAGCCTCTGCCAAAGGCTGATAAGAAGGACAAAGGTTTTTTTTCTGCTATTTCAAAACAAAATGATTTTCATACTGTATCTTAGAAGTTCCAAAAACATGGGGCCGGGGATTTAGCTCAGTGGTTCCGGCGCCTGCCTCACAAGTGCAAGGTCCCAAGTTCGATCCCCGGTACCAAAAAAAAACAAAAAAAGAAGTTCCAAAATCTTTTGACTTATAATCTTGAGAGTGCATGAATTGTTCAGTGATGCTTGTTAGAATATTTGTTTGTAAACCTTTTTTCAGTTAGGATTATCAGGTATGTTTGGTATAAGGATTCAGTTTCCTTTCAACCTTCAAGGCACTACGATGCAACTACTCAAATTCACTCAGTGTGTATAAGAGTACTTTTCAGCTACTAATAAAGTATGAGCTGGTGACTATGCTCTCCTTGTAAAATACACTTGCAATTTAAAATAAGGTAAGGACCAATACATTAACTTTAAAATATAAACCAAAGTCTTAATTATTAAGTACCTTAAAATACCAAGGGTATTTTCAAACATATCAACATTTAGAAAAAAGGTGAGCAATTCAAGAAGTTTATAAGAAAACTAGAGGGAGTCTTAAGATGCTTCTAAATCCTTCTACAAAACAGCCATGCCAAAATAATTAAGAACAGAGAGAATTTAAATAATATAATTGCTGACACTGATTTAATAGAGAAAGTGTACATTTCTAACTTAGAAACGGGAGTCTACTTTTCTGTCTATGACTTCTTTATAAAATTAGGATTCAGAATGGATACCATGAGTGTAAAAAGATGCAAAAGCAGACATTTCAGAGCCAATCATCACAATAAAAATAGATATCATTGACTACGTTTAAATGAAAAAATCCCTCCCAATGTACAAGAAACTTCTAAAAATCTGTGGAGTTAACAAGGAAATCAAGCGTGTACTTGTGGACTATTAAGAAAAATAGTAGGAAAGTTAAAACAAAGCCCCTCTTTTTTAACAACTAAGAATCATGATTCTGAAAAGTACTGCAAGAGAAGGAAATTTTGTTATAATTAGAGATATGTGGAAACCATAAAGAATGTAATAAAACTACCATTATTGGCCTTAGATGCTTTTCTAATTTTATGAGAATGAAAGAAATGCATGAATTGTAATGCTGACTCAAACATTTAAAAAATTCAAAGAAAAACAAAATAATAAATTGGAAAATAGAAAACATACAGAATTATGAAATCTGAGAGCTAGTTATTTTTAAAGAACTAGTAAAACTTATATTTCAGGTAAAAATAAATGAAAAACAACACATCTAAACATCATTAAAGTGAGAAGACACTGAGCTGCATAAGGCATTTAAGATCATAAGTAAATACCACTCAAAATTCTAATTTAAGGGTTGATAACGCCAGTGCACTAGTTTTGAGTGGGCAAAAAAGTTATTTCAAAAACAAAAAAGGTTAAAAAGAGGATAACCTAAGTGAAACCTTAAAAATTTATTTCAAATGAATGATTTGCAACTAGATTAATTTACTAGTGGCTTCTTATAAATTTTCAAGAAAAAGACCTTTCTTACCTATAATATATTTATAGTGGAAAGAAAAAGTCAAAGAGTTTTCAAATCTAATCCCCAAAACTAACAAAACCTGACACAAAAAGCTTCAGACTAATCACATATGAAATGCAGATTTTAAAAACCTATAAAATTTAACTTAAATTATAGTTCACCATATATAAGATTTGCCCATGAATATAAAGATGATTTAATAATAAGTTTAAAAATATAACACATTCTAGTAATAGAGCAAAAGAGACAAAAAAAAAGTCATGATGATGAGGAGGTATTCCATGAAATATATCTCCTATCCTGATATAAAATACATTCTTGATTAACTGAACTAGAGGGGAATTTCATTACCTGATATAGGTTGCCTTGTACCAATATTCAAAGTCATACTTGTGAGTAAAGACTACTTGCAGTATTTCTATTGTGAAGTAGAGCTACCTGCTACCTCCACAATTATTTAACATTTTTCTAGAAATTCTAGACTAGATACTACTATAGATATAAAGATGTACATTTTATCTCCTGGAAAGAATGATGGAACATTACTACTTTCAATTACTAAAAACTATCTTTCTAGAACACTCAGGACTCAAGGGTTAATACCAAAGTACAGAAATGATTCAGGATAGAAAATAAATGTAAAGAACATTACACTTTCCTACATAGTAGTGATAACCAGTTACAAAAAATAATAGGAAAAAGTCATTCATGATAAAAATATATAAAACATATAACATTAATTTCTAAGTAAATGTACAGCTCTCTTAATGGGGGAAACTACATGTATTTATCAGGAGACATAAAAGAAAGCATGAATAAATGGGAAGACATCACCTACTCCTAAATGGAAAGACTAAATTGTGTAAACATATGAATTCTTCTCAATGTACCAAAATCTCAAAGGACCTTTTTAAAAGTCTGAAATTTTATTTTAGTATTTATCCGGGGGAAAAAAATTGCAGAAAAGAAAAGTAAGAAATTCAGAAAAATGAAGAGAAATGAGAGTACACAGTCTTGCTAATCATTAAATAAAAACTTATAAGACTGTAATTTGTTTAACTACAGTGGTAGATCAAGACTAGGCTAGCATATCAATGATATATAAATGCATAACATATATGAATGTAACATATAAGCTTTATAATGTACATTATAAGAAAACCACAATTATATATGAATATAGGCATGATTAAACTGATATAATTGTACATAGCTAAGTTAGATAAATTAAGAGCAGTCAGACAGGAATAGGTCCTTAAAAGTCAGTGCAGAAGATGAGAACACATCACAACTGTACCTGGAGGCACATCTGTTGAAGGCCAGGCTTCAAGATAAAGATGGAATGACCAGGCCTACATGCCTGTCCGAGGGATAAGCAATAGCTTGAGATTATACCGTAAGTGGTATCACCCCGTCCAGTAAAGTTCAAATGGACATCAGTCACCCAGCTGGCTGACCAGAGTATCCAGACCTATCCCTTCCTAAAAATGCCTTTGTTCTTTCCATATACCCTCGCTACATGGCCTGCTTCCCTATTGGCTCAATACTAGCTAAGCAGCTATACGTGTAATCTTATTGGTTGATTATAGTTTGCCCTAAATTGTACCCATCTCGTGATTTTGCTCTATAAAGCATTCTTGGAGAAATGGCCTCTGGGGAAACCCACTTTCTGGACCTCTCCTGCCTCTCAGGAGCTAGCTCTCCGTACATCTTTCTTACTCTTAATCTCCTTTATTCCTTGGAATTCATTCTTTGATTTCAGAGGATATGAACTCAACATATCTGACACCTAGCACGTTGGGAGTTATATTTCTCCTGTATCAATATTATGCTCAATTGAGGAATGAATGAATGAAAGGAATGTTAAATACTCAACAGCTAAAACATATCTCCTGGAAAAACAGGTTGATAAAACAATTTGACCCCTACCATAAACTATACCATGAGCTATTTTTAAAGGCATTAAAATAAAAATTTAGAACTAAATAAGCAATAATCTATTCTATTTTGTAATTAGAAAAAATTTTCTGTGCATAAGGACAAAGAAAAAAACATAAAGGAATAATAAACAAGTCATATAAATAAGGAAAATAAGTGATCAAATAAAAATAAATTTAAAAATACACATGGATAATTCACAAAAGGACAAATAATATGAAAATAGGCTTATCCTCACTGAAAATGAAAATCAAAAAACACAAATAAAAGCTTTAAAAGATATCATTTTTTAAAAGTCTTATCAGATCAGCAAAAAATTTCTTTATTTGATTAATTGATGATTGATCTAAGCCAGGTGCATTCACTGCATAGCTACATCCCCAGACCTTTTATTTTTACTAATTTGTTTATTTTTATTTATTTATTTATTTTATTTTTGAGACAGAGTCTTGCTAAGCTACCTAGGCTGGGCTTGAACTTGTGATCCTCCTATTTCAGCTTCCCAAGAAGCTGAGAATACAGTCATCTCCCACCACACCTGCATTAGTATAGTACTTTTTATATCTTATTTGTGATATGTTGTTATGAAGCAAAGCCTCTCAAAAAGAACTGATAGAAGTGACAGTTGGTATGAAGTTTCTGGATGAAATGTCAATTGTGAACCAAAAGCTGTAACAGATGCATATGCTTGCACTGAATTGACCTTAGTTACTCTATGGAAATCAGAGATTGTGTGGACATGATTTATATAAGCAACTTTTTCACGGCATTGTTAAGAATCCTGAAATACTGGAGCCAACTGCATGGTAGACAGAGTGACCACATCCTACTTCGCCCAACATTTCTTGCCAAAGCCTGGTATAGTCAGTAATGGTGTCTGCCTTCACTCTCAAAATTGCCCGTCTTTTGCAATGGGACACATTTTCCAGCTTCCTGCCTAAAGGTCTTGGTAGATGTTTCATAGAGGTTTTGGTTTAGTTTTGTATTCTGTTGTTGCTTGCTTTTGTTCTCACTTCACTAAAATGAATATACTCCAACGTAAACAAGAATTCTTGAACGCACATTGTAAGTGCCAGATCCCCTATCTACAGGCCCTTACCATAAAATGCCTCATTTACTTCTCCATGTTCTGCGACACTCCTGGTCTGCATAGGAGGAAATAAGGGCTCAGAAGGGTTAAGGTAACTTTCTCGATGTCATGACATTACAAAGAGAATCATTTGTCATTGGACTGATTAAAAGCATTTTATAAAATATACGTTTGTGTTTAAAATGGATCTTGGTGACTCAATAGTTCAGGATTCATGTGACTGAAGAATATAATGTCGGTACTTATTAAAAATAGCCAAGTTTCTGCTCTTGGATTCTAATACTGGTGACCGTTTCATTCCATAATTTCGCTGGAGTAATGCAACTGTTTCTTGCTTCACAGGGGAGTTGCAGTTCTGGGATGGGAGGAACAAAAAAAATATTTTAAAAGAAAACAATCTTCATATACTTACAGTTGGTATAGATGGCTTTTCGAAAAGGCTTGCCCTTAGAAAAGATAAATGCTATCGTGATGCAGTTGATGGTAGTGATGGGCCACAGTGTAGTGCCCTCGAAACTTAAAATGGAGCCAGGAACCAGAGTAGCATTTCCAGTCCAGTTTCTTCCCAAACTCACATCAGTCGAGAAATTACTTTGGTTGGTCAGAAAGCACTCACTACAAAAGAATTGCCGGTATTTATAAGATGTTTTAAATTCAATTTTTATCCATGATGGGGGAAAAAAGTTGAATCACTACTATGGGGCTTCAGCTTTCCACTTGTTCCAGTTGGTGATGACTGAGACATATTTTGTTCACGTCTTGGAATGATGAAGCAGAAATGAAATTCAGAGGAAGTCAAGATTGTTCTTTGCCACTTCATTTACAGCAAGTAATCTATCGTGAAAGGGCTTGGATGAGAATATTCTCTGGAATTCTTTTCAATTCAGAGTAAATCTACCATGTGAATTGAAATTGTGTGTATGTCTTCGTGTGTGTCTTTGTGTGTGTGTTTTCTTTCATCACTAAGGTAAGCCTAACTTGTGTGCTGAGTTTGAGTCTGCACTCTAATCCTTTCTCCTTATTTAGGAAAATCTTTCTACACACCCTGTAAGATATATAAGTTAAGCTCCAATTTATCAGATGACCTAGAAGGCCTTCAGTTCCAGTCTTAATCTACCTTTCTGGTCTTTTGTCACTCTTCTCATGCTCCCTTACACTCCTGATATACGGGATTATTCTCTGTTCCTAAAATACCACAATTTGCAGATTTGTTGAGGTAGACATGCTATTTCCATTAATTGAAGTAATAGTTATCCTTCAAACTGCACCATATTAAAATTGCTTTTTCTGGGAAGTGAATCTAATGGGCCTCATTCTGCCTTCTGTGGCTCATTGTTTTGCAATTATTTTCTTGACTTATTTCCCACCTGTGAGATGCAAGTTGAGTATGAGATTTTTCTTTTGATTTTTGTTGTTATTTTTGTTTGACTTAAATGTACATTGTGGTACTTTACACAATGGGATCACATAACAGTTACTCAGAAAAATACTTTTTTAAGAACTGGGCTTTCCCAGGCCTGATTAATCTATTTGCAATGTACTTTTTTTTATGATGAAACCTACAATACAAACCTAATTTTCATGCTTAAAATCTTCATAGGTTTCTTGCTTGAAATTTAGTAATTAATTAGGATGGTATATGGATCAGATTCATTTTCCAATTGAGAATCCAAATGCAAGATTTAATTCTTATTATCCTGGGCTCCTTAGGTGCCAGATGTGCTTTCCTACAGTGCTTCAGTTAATGTTTGCTAAATGGATTAATGAAACCAGCAATCAGTAGTCACATCCTTGCAGAAAGATGGACAGAGATGCCCTCAATGACAGAGTTTAGCAACAAAAAGTTGCTAGTTCTATCTGCTTGTATGGCGGATAAGTTTAGGGCTAGTATTATGCAGCAACTTAGGGACAGAGCAGGACTGCCCTGGTTTCCTGTCCATCCCCTTGGGCTACATGACCTTGTCTCCTATTTTTCAGTCAGAATAGGCTTTCTTTGAACATATGCACTGCAATGTGGGGAGAAAGCTGGTTTTGAAACTAAATGGGATTCTACATTCCAAGCAATACTTGAACTACTGGATTTGTGATCTAAATGACAATCTTAGACATCAATCCATTCTTTTCAGCCTGGGTTTCATTTATTCCTCCCAGTTCTTAGGCTTTGAGGATGTCAGTGGCATGAGGGGAATTTATGCATCCCCTATTTCAAAAGCAGCAGCTCTTTTCTTGCCTTTTCTTTTGGAGTCAGGGTGGCTTCCCCAGAAAAAAATAAAGTTTGAGAATTTATCACATAGTTTTCTTCATTTTATCTCTGATTTATCGTTAAGGAAATTAAAGCCCTGGAGGTAAAAAATACTTGTCCTGAGATTAGTGTTTTAATTCAGTCAGAACAATGATCATCCACTAATATTTTAATTTTAACACTCATTTGAAAAACTCCAAATAATCTAAGCAATGACTCTTTTTTGTATGTCTTTACCAGGGTCTAGTAAATGGTAAAATCTACAGGTCAAATCCAACTCCTACCTGTTTTTGTAAATACAGTTTTATTGGAACATAAAGATACTTATTTACATGTTGTCTATGGGTCCTTTTCACACTGTTGACGAGTTGCATCAGAGATCATGCAGCTCAGAAAACCTAAGACATACACTGTCTTGCTTTCTACCAGAAATGACTACCAACTCATGGTCTATATAATGACAACATTCACACAGCTGTTAGATCTGCACATCAACAGTGAGACAGATCTCCTCCTACCTATTCCACATGGCTCATCCCAGCACTCTACCCAATGCGTTCTGCTTTATCATTAATGTTTTGCAGTGTGAAGATACAATTTTTGTTAATAAACATTTTAGAACAAGTTCGAACCAAGTTGGGCAGTATTGCTGGAGAACTACCTTATCAATTTCAGAAAGGAAAACTATGAAAATGAACTCACCTGTACAGGTAGACCTCACAATACCAAGGCTGCTGCTTCACATAGAGAAAGGCGCACACCTGCACGATGCAGGTGAAACAGGAATTGAGGAAGATGGAAAGCAGCAAAGGGGGTGAAAGGAGCTCCCCTGCGGGTCGATAGGGAGCCAGCTGTGGGTAGGCATCAGTTGAACTCACTGAAAGACAAATGCATTTTGCCCTTTAGCATTTCATTGTTCAGAATAGAAGACTGAGGCGCGTATTACTGTATTTAAGTCTTACTTGAGTCTTGCCTTAGGATACAGACTGAGCAAACATGAAGTGATCATTGATGGCTACATAAGCACATTACTTAGTTGCATATCCGATTCTAACAACTTTGTCTCTTCCATCCTATAGCTTCTCCTTCAGAAATGAAAAGTAATGGGCTACAAAGCCCTGCAATTAATATATATTTACCACATCACCTGGTCCAAATACTTTGTCTCTAACCAGATGACCAAGGATGGTGTGTAAAAGAGGAAGATGATCCCTGAAATGGCATAAAAAGCACTCACGTTACCTCACAGTGTTGAGGGAATGCAGAGTTAGGATGAGATGAACAGGCAGGCACCTAGGTAGACCTGTCTTCCTATGCTGGGAAATGCATAGGAAGAATTTGATTAGTCATTCAACCAGCATTCTCTGCTCCTTGCAGTCTGGCAGAAATTGTGATAGCTGCTAGAGGTGTGTTCCTTCCTGGATTTGGATGTAAATGGGGGACTGCCAGTATACATTCTGTTGTTAGGGGGAAAAACTAAAACATCTTACTTCTTTTAACAGTGTGAAAATATATTATACTTTTGATTTTAGGATTTACTTTTCAATTTTAATTGAAAGGGATTGAAATGGCCAATTAAAAAGCAACTTTCAAAAGATGAATAATCCTACATATTCTAGCATAAACATTTTAGAACATGTTTGAACCAAGGGGCAATATTGCTGGAGAATTATCCCATCAATTTCAGAAAGGAAAACTATCCTACATATTCTAGCAAGAGGGCAAAAGTAAAAATGTAACTTCTCAGGACAGAGCAAGAAAGGAGCACAAAGAGGTTAGAATTAGAAACATCACATTTAAAGACGCACATCAAATAGTCACGTTTCAGTTCTTGTCTCCCTACCTGCCACCTCTCCCCTTTTCACAGTTTACCTCTGATTTCTCTGACATAAATGGGAAAGTGGGATGTGAATGCTTAGGTTTGTGTTCATGCATGTAGGGGAAGGGTGGTGGGGAGCTGGTATCCAGTTTGGGGTAATAAACTCTAAAGTAGGTCTTGCTTTTGTTCAATGTGTAAGCTAGGCTAATCATGTAAACTCTCTGGGTCTTCATTTTTTATGTATAAAACAAATTTGTTGAAAGGTTTACATGGGATCCAAAAGCCTTTCCAATTCATTTATTCCAAAGCTCAACCACTATGACTTTACTGTTTCCAGTCTAATCAGTGTTTTTTTCAGCAAGGTGCTGGGCTAGAGGATGTGGAGTCTCGGAGTAAAAAGATCGTTGCCTCTTCCTTCAAAGAATTTGAAGACACAGATAGATTGTGTAATAATGAACTTTGTTCCCAGTTCCTGTGATGCTTCTTCTAATGCCCTGACATTTCCTGAGTGACAAGAGTATTGTTCTTTCTTTCTTACGGCGGTCCCTGACAGTTTATGCCAAGATGAATGACGGTGGATCTGAAAAGAATTTGTATTAACAATATTACTCAGGAATGGGGCTGTCCGTACCCCCAGAGGCCAACTGTGTGATTGGAAGGTTGAGCTTTTGAGTCATGTCTCAGCCTGACCTCCAAGAGAATTGGAATGTGGAGATTAACTTAACCTGTGGCCAACAGTTCGATCAGTCTTGTTTGCATAAGGAAATCTCAGTAAAAACTGTAGACTCTGGAGCTCAGTTTCCCTCCATGGTTGGCAGGACTCTGCACTTTGTCATGTATCCGTGTGTCAAGACAGTGAGGCATCCTGACTCCACAGGGAAAGGACAACAGAAGTCACATCGGGCCCCTCCAGAATTTACTTCAAGTGTCTCTCCCTTTAACTGGCTCTGATTTATAGCCTCTTGCTCAAAACAAAACTGTAATCATAAGTATAGCACTTCTTTGAGTTCCATGAATTGTAGCAAATTATTGAACCTTTGGAGTAGTGGGAATCCCTAAATTTGGAGCCAGTTAGTCAGACTTGCAGGTGACACAGGGACCCCAAAACTTAAGGATAATGTCTAAAATGAAGGCAGTTTTGTAGAGGCTGTGTCCTTGGTGTGTGGTGTTTGGCCTAACTCTTGGTAGATGGTGTCAGAAGTCATTGGGTTGGGTTGGGCCCAAAGAAAGGGCTCACGATGTGGACGGTGGTCAGTGCTGAAGAGAGTGCAAAGAGACCGTACTCCTGGGTCACACAAGGCAGGGGCTGCAGTGCTCAGAGTTCTCTCTCCACTCCGGCATCCAAAGCCAGTGTGTCTGAGGGCTCCGGAAGGAGCAGTGAGTCCCGGACAAGGGTATAATCACAGCTCGGGCCTCTGCTGCTTTGGTCTCCTTTCTCACACATGCTCACTTTGTAGTTTCTGCCCTTCTGTTTTGTTTGTTTTTATACAAGAACTGTGTTAGATTGAATTGTTGGCTTCATGAGCTAGAGTTGTTTGGGCTTCACTATGTGATCCTGGCCAAAGAGATATTAACGGTGGTTATTAACATTGGGTAGCATTCCTGCATCCCTTGCCTTGCTCTCTATGATTCTCAGTAAGAGTACATCCTGTCTGCCTATTCACCCTGGCCCTGGAAGGAAAGATGTAGAACAGACCCAAAACAAACCCCATAGCTTGCCCAAGATCGCATGATCTACATCCCCACGTAGGGTGGCTTAGCTGAGCAACCTAGATCAGCTGAATGCCAGTCAACTTGCAGGCCCATGGAGGGGAGAAGAACTGCTTGGTGGTATAAGCTGCTGAGTTCAGGGGGTGTGTTGCTATGCAACAGTATGGGGCGGTAGCTAGTTGATATCCTTACACAGAGTACTTTGGCTTTTTCCACATTATAGACTTCCAGTAATTCTAACAGAGAATCTGTATTTACAATCATAAGTGAAAATAAAAATAATTACCATCTTAGGACCCCTATTAGGTTCTAGACCGTGTGCCAAGTGTTTCATGAATGTTATCTGCATTTCCTTAAAAAGCAATGGAGAAAAGGTACATTGTACAAAAGAAGAAACTGAGGTTCTGAGAAGTGGAGTCCCTTGCCTGAAGACCCTCAGTAACTGACAGAATAATGATGTTAACTTGGAGGGGACCATAATGTTGATTATTCCCAAAACAGGCTAAGAAGAGTTAACCCCACAACTGGCTTGTTCAGAGAAGTGAGTCTGGCCGAAGCCTATGCGCCAAGGTCAGAGTAACTTGAACCCAAATTCCATTCCTACAACTAAAACCTTCAGACTAGAAGGACAATGTTTTCATTACTACCATATATTTTGTCTATTCTCTTCCTAATTTGAGAATGCTTTGTCTTGTCCTTTATGAGCCTTGTTTACATTAATCGCCATAGAAACCACAGGTCACCTTTACCCCAGTTGATTGCCAATAAAAGTCAGTGCCTGGGACCAGCCACCGCCTTTGTCGGGTGCACCAGTATTGGTCGTCCTGGCACCCCGCTTTCTCTCTCCTAGTTCTGTCTCTTAGTGTATTTTTTTCTCAGGCCTGTGTTGCCCACTGGGCAGGTGGGGACTAGAGACTTACTGCAGGAGCCTCTGGCATTGACTCAAGTCTGCCTGATTGTAAAGCCCCATGGTGTTTGCTCTACAGCATTCTGCACCCCAATGGGTTTCCTCCACTGAGAAGAATGCAATGAGGAGCCCCCAAATACCAGTGTGGATAGCACCTCTATTTATCAGTAGCCAGAAGAACTTCTGAATCAATCATTCCCTCTTCTGAGTCCCCATAGCACATTATTCTTATTTCTGCTATAGTGCGGGGTGTCTTGCATTCAGTCTGGTTATTTACATATGCATTCAGCAGACTGTGAGCTTCCTAAGGGAAAGAAACCTTGACTCATTCCACTTTCTGACCCTCACTAAACCTAGCAGAGGGCCTGCTACCTGGGAGGAATGATTTACTTTATAGTATGCACCTTGCAAATCATGTAAGTCAAACATCAAGGGGCCCATAAACCCACCAAAACTAAATGCAAAATTCTGAGTGTGTGGCCTGGGACTTCCAAAGTGAAAAGATCTATATCTTCCATCGGATTCTTTAGGGGATTCACAGCCAGGAAAAGGTGAGGGCTCAGGGAAGCACTGATGGGATTTGAGAAAGAGATGTATCTATGTAAGCAGGAAATTTCCTCTCACACCTACTTCTCTGGATACTGTCTCCTCCCAAGTGTTGGAGTATTTGGTCTAAATGAAGTTGAATTATACAAATCTTCCTTCATTCATAAAAATCATGGCCTAAAGGTAGGCATTACACCCAATTTAAGTCAATGAATTATCTCTCTCAAACATTGGCAAATGGAACAATGAGAGGTTGAGTTCATTAACTATGGGAAGACAAGCAGAAAGGCTATGGAGACTCAATCCAGTGTCACTGTAGGGTCGGGGGGGGGGGACATTTGTAAGATGAATGAGTAGAACTCAGATTGAAACTATAGGAATGGAGAAGAAAGAAAAGAGAGGGTGAAGATGGTTGTTTGCAAATAAAGAAAGGGATCTAGTTTTGTGGTCATTAGTGCCCTACTCTTCCTGAGGCCCAGGTGCTTTAGCATTTCTATTCTCAGGTTTTCTTTTTTGACAATTATATTTGTAATTGCTTTCCTCCTTTACTTTCTTGATCTAGCTCAAGTGACTCTTATGAAAGAGCAGAGACATTAGCACAAAACTTCAAGATGGCAGCTACTCAGATTAGGGTCACATTGAACTTCAGGACATGCATTTTCCTAATTAATTGACTTTCCTCCTGACTTCATTTTGTTTTTCTTCTTGATTTTTCTCCTTAAAGTATTATATCTCTTTAGCTGCCTTCTGCCTTCAAATCTGCGGGAACAGGCAAGGTATGTATTTATAAGTAAATTAATTTAGTATGTGATAGTACTGTCTTTTCCAAGTACTGAGCCTTTACCTGAAAAAGTGGGGAGCTTTGATGAGAGTCGTGTGACAGTGATCACATCTAATTGCCAGTGATTCCCAAGGGCTGCAGACAAATGTGCACAGATCTCAGCCTGGCAGTCAAGACTCTGTGATCTGGCCCAGGTCACCTTTTCAAATCTTATCTCCTGCTGCTTCTTTTCACATATCCTAGAATGTGGTCGAATTGAAAAATGCGTACCTTATATGCATCAACCCTTGCTCATGCTGCTTCCTTTTCCTTGAAATGCCCTTTGAGGAAAAGATTTTGAGATCTATTCATCTTTCCTATGTAAGTGGGAATACTACTCTTCCATGAAGTCACCTCTATTTCTCTCCCCTTTCTTCATTGCTAGGTCCTCCTCATTCAAGATTATCAGAAGCAATCTCTCTTTCCTCAGAATTTCCAAAGCATCTGGTATTTTCTGCCCTTGAGTAATATGAGCTTGTGTGTCACTCTTTCATCTATGTAAGTCCCTCCCTAAACTCCAACTTGAGTCATCAGCTTTGCTATGCACCGGGCACGTATATGTCTAACACAGAATGGAGGAAGAACATCAGTGCAACAGGGTGTTGAGTTGTGTTTTTCCTGTTAGGTGAAGAGTTTTGTCAAGTCTCATATTTAAGGACAATGAATTCTAAGTGCCAACTTAGTATGAAGAGAGATGATCGTGATACCCCACCATACCTTATAAGTGAGATCCGTATTCATCCTTCAACTATATACATGACTCCCCCATCCCAATTATCTATGTACTGACTCTATAAGGGAAAAGTACAGAGGTTATTAAGGGATTCTTTAAAAGGAATTGTTAGGAGTAGTATGAACTGTTATTTGCTTCTCAGCATTGCCATAACCCAATGAGGGGAAGTCGAAGAACCACTGTAGGAGAGATTGGAGATGGTTGTGGGAGGAGCATTTGCTTTTGTCACTCCTTCTGTACTGTGAAATCATGGGGAGAGAAAAGGAAGCAGGGAACAAAAACAAGCTGCACAACTCCAGTCTGGTAGGTCAAGTAGAAGCCAAGGAAATTAGCCAGGCCAGAGCTTTCCTGGAAGGAATGTGTCCAGCAGTGTGACCTGCTAGTGTTTAAGGTATGTTCCATCTGGAGACAACTGCAGAAAATATTCCTGAGGGGTCAGAGAGAAGAGCAGTACGCATGTCAGGAAGCCTTCGTCTAGACCCGTCCACGGGGAGATTCTGAAGGACTCACCAGTGAGCCCTGCAAAGCACCTGAGTTAGACACCTGCCATATAGGGCCTCTGATGGGAGAGAACCACAGTCCCTCACTTAAGTAGCAAACACTCTCTTCTTGTTCTTATTCTCTGAAGCAGGGGTGGAGAGCGTGTGCACGAGGGAACTCAGACGGCACTTCCTTCCTCTCCCACTCTTGCTCCAAGCCATAGATCAGGCTTGATCTAGGGGATGGAAAGCTTTGAATTAAATACAAATGTGGAATATTAATTTATGATACCGGGACTTTTCACATCTAAAGATGAGATAATTTTAATTCCTGGAATTGACCAGAAAACGATCTGCTTTTGGGATGACTGAGCCTGCAGGGTAGGAAAACAGAGTATTTGAAATCAGAGGGCAAAGAACAAACAAAAACCCCATTTCCAGCTTCTACTCTCTTCTTCTCCAATCTCCTCAGAGTTCATCCCACTTATGCAACCAGCTACAGGATTTCTGACTAGTAACTGGATAAGGTCGTTCTAATGGAACATTGTCTTTCTGACCTACTCCAACCAAGGCCTAGAGATGGTACAGCCCTTCTCTGAGTTATCCCAGCACTCACTGAGCCCCTGCTGAATGACGATTGTGATTCAAGTGTGACCGGGGGCATGAGTGTCAACAGGCTGGCACCATGGGCCACAGTCAAATAGGTCACTCTGCAGGGGGGTCAACTCCATTAACAATATCAAGGTATTCAGTGTACAAAAGCTTAGAACCCTCGCTCAAGGTCATAAAGCAATTCTGAGGCAAGACTAAAACTGATGTTCGTGTTTTTGGGTATCTAATGACACCAGTCTACCTGAGTCCATTCTGATACCTTGTAAGTGTCTACACAGCTAACCAGTCTTCTCAAAAGAAGACAGAAGAGAGGTGTACTGTGAGGTCATTCAGCTTGCTAGGAGTGCTTAGTGTATCTTGCACTGTAATTTATACCCCATGGACACCATTTTTTCTGATCTCCAGAACTCTACAAAAATGTTTCACATTAGGAAATTATTTATTTCTTAAGTGACTTGCCAAAGGTCACAGAGACGGGACAAGGTGAAGGAGAACCATGACATCACTCCCAAGCCACTACGGGTTAGTTCTTGAAAATTCCTAGTGCTCCTTTTGCTTTTCTGCATCATTCACAAATAACTCATGCAAATTGCTTAAAAGTATCAAACATCATAGAAGCAATATCATTGATTTAAAATTATTCAGTCATAAGAGAAGCAATATCATTGATTCAAAATTATCCAGTCATGTTAATATTAATATCATGTAAAAAATATTTAATAGGTTATGAAGAGACCTCTCAACCCTAATAATCAAAATTGAAACTACTTACATCTATGGTACTGGTAAATTCTGTGAATGGGTTGATGTAATAAATGACTTCAGTACCAGTTTCATGTTTTAAGATGCTACATGAAATTCTCAAGGTTATTAATATCCTGCAATGCCTGATGTTTTATCTGTTATTTTTCATAGCACTCCATTGCTGGACAAAGGAAAGGAGATGACAATACCATTCTTTTTCTTTATTTTCTGTTGAGGCAGTCACCTTTCTCACTTATTAAGAGTTAGTATCAAGCCCCGAGTTCCTTGATCAGAAATACTTTATCAGTGTCATCTCAAAGGAAGGAAATGAGCAACGGTTGCTGTAAGCCACACCTTGCTTTTGAGAGAATTCCACTAGGATAAAATGTTAGCATTTGTTCTCAAGTGTCAAAGACCCAGCAAAAACCTAGTTTTACGTCAATACAAAGCATAGCTGAATAATGGAAAGTGATCTTTGGGTTTAAAAAAATCCCTGTTTGGATTTCTTATTCATTTTACTATGTACAAGAAACAAACTACAAAGAGTCCCGAATACACTAAATATGTTGATAAGTTTTTGAGGCTAAGACCTATTTCCTAACAGGATATTTTACCAAAAAGTCTGGAGACTTCCAACTTCAACCCACTCCCAACACCACTTTCAAAAATTTCATAGGCAATGAAGTTTCAGCCATTAGGGTTCCATTTTCTCAGAAGCTCTAGTTTGTGCATCTGTAGACTTTCACAGATAAATATGAACACTTTGCTTTGCCAAAGAGCTTACTTGTTAAACAGACCGTCAAAGTAATAGCTATATCTTGCATGAGATACTGGTAATTCCCAAAGAGTTGTAGTTGCTGAAAAAGAAACAAAGGTAAAGGTAAGTGTGGCTTCTGTCATGGTTGCATTTTTATCATTTCCAATATTCCTTTTAAAGTAGTTAGAAGGCAACTATTATTTTTCTCCACTATTCAGGAAGAAAATGACTAAGCTAACATCCTTAGCACCTCATTGGATACAATGTGATTGAGTCACTATTTTCTAGTATTTGAATTAATTCCATCCTAGCAATGAATCGGTAAGTATGGAATTAAATGTTTATTATCATTTAATTTTAAGAGGTTTTTTTCAGTATTAAAATACTGGAAATCCTTTTCTAACTATATGTCTATCTGTTTAAGTGGGTAGGTTCAGGAGTAAATCTCCAGTATAGGACTTTTTAACATTCTAGTCCTTCAAAATCAAATCTCTTCCTTTTAACCTTTTCTCAGTCTTTTACCACAAATATTCCACAGTTGGAGACTGATTCACTTCCTGTTGAGTTATATTTAGGCTACTCAAAAGCTCTCTTTATACTCCAGGGGAAGAAAACAGTCTTGGAGAGGTCAAGAGTCTCAGGTTATCCAGAGAAAAATAACAGCCTAGAAAACAAATCCACATCTACTTATTCCTGCTGCTACACTTCAGGCACCCTTATACCAGGTTCTCAAGCACGTAGGCACCTAATTCAAGAAATCTCATTTATTATAAGACACGAAATCCTGTATCAAAGCCACACCCCCCAAAATAAGCCTTGGCTATAAATATAATTAGAACTGGAAAGAAAAGATTTTGTTTCCTACCCAATAGAGCAGTGACGTTGCAACAAATTGGATTATTCCATACATGGTCAAGTATTTAAACACCCCAAATGATGAAACTAGAGCAGCACGGCCTTCTCTGTTTGAAAAAAAAATAAATAAATAAATAAATAAATAAATAAATAAATAAATAAATCTGGTTATGTACAGAACACATCTCTTAGTCTCTTATATTTCCAAAGGAGTTTGATTTTAATAGCCCATTGATACACATTCACTTAATCATTGATTCATCCTCTCAGTTACATATTTAATGACTCATTCACTCATTCTCTTCTTCAGTCATTACCTCCCTTATTGATTCTTGATTCACTTTTATGCAGGGCTTATGAGGTAGCAGCATTACACTAAGTGTCATGGAGAATGCAAAATGAACCAGGCATAATCCTTTCCTTGAAGTAAGAAGACCACCATGTATTTTATAAACACAGTACAACACTATGGTAGAGTGCAAAAAGTCCAGCATTGACTTGATTGTGACTCCTTGTGTCTTAACAATACCTGCTTCCTGGAAATTGCTGTGTATGTTTCAGAGGCCCTTAGAGACACCAAACTAAAGGATGGTGCTCTCACTTTGTTGGAAGTGTGAGTGCGACTCTGCTATTTGAGATGGAATAGATCTTGCTGGCCTTGGAAAGCCTTGGTATTCTAGGGAAAACCTAGGGCAATAATCTGAGCTGGTGTGGAGATCAAGAGATCAAGAATATAGTAAGAACTGCAGCCTTGAAAGTGGAGAGTCCCCATTTTAAAAAATTCCACGTGAGCTGTTACTCTCTTAACTGCGCTCTGTTGGGTAGTGGGTGGTGGCAGGCCAGGAGGGAGACAGTGTGAGGTAGCAATGTTGGAAGGTCCTGCAGCTTGCTTTTGTCAGGGAAGAAATGAATCTATGTGAGAGGGACCCACACATGCTGCATTCCTTGTTCCCACTGAGTTGGACACCTGCTCTGTTCTGACTCTGTGTCAACTAAACAGGGACAGGAGAAGGAAAACAGAGCCAAACTACTGACCACTGCGCCTCAGGCAAGATGAGAGAGTTGGGCTGGGAGATGGGCCAGGGAGCAGATGTTTTCCACCAGGCTGTGAGGCGCTGCCATTTATTTTCAACGCAGAGAATGGGACAGGAGACAAGCTGAGAAGAGCAAGCATGTGAAGCCTGTATCGTTCTCCCAAGTCTGACATAAACATTGTGATTTCATCCGTTTTCTGCAGTGGTGTGTACCTCCAGGAAATAAGGACACCCAGATTCCAAGGAGAGAAGGAAAGTGAAAAAAAGCCCCACTCTAAGTAAAAAGATAAAGAGTGCTTCCATGGTCCTCCGAAACGGCTGCTACTTTTCATGATTGTGAATTTTGAGCAGCTCACATGTTTATTAACACATATCACACACATCCTTCCAATGCTCTGGCGTACGGAGCGCAGTGCAAGGCACGATGCCTACTACAGTAATGAGTAAGATGCTACCTTGCCCTCTGGGACTTGAACCACACAACAAGTGAATCACGCCTCAAACCTGTGAGTCTGCACCTATGCACTTAAACTGTATCTCCTTGCTCCCCTGAAGTGTTTTCTCAGTCAGAAATGAGCAGGGGTCAAAGAGAACAAAGGGTAGAGTGAGTCTAACAGAGCTGAATCACATCTGATTTTTCTGATATTGTGAAATATAAAAGCAAAGGCTCTCTGCCCTGAAGTCTTACTAAGCCATCTGCTACTAGAGAAATTTATATCATGATTTGTGTTCTAAAACAGAATACTGCATTCATAAATGCACTGGGCCACGTGCAGGAGGAAGCTGCGAAGTTCTGTAGTTTGGAAAGGTCAGGCAGGTAGTTGGTGGCACTTCCAGGAGGTCCAACTCCCTAGGTACGCTTCCACTCCTGGCTCTCCAGCTCTACCCCCAGAGCTCCCACCTGAGAAGTCCTGCTCGGTTCGGCTAACTGGTCCCTCAGCTGCCTCTGCAGTCACAACTCTATTTCCAAATGTGCCATTTCCATTCCTCCGCCTGGAATTCCTTCCTACCTCCGTTCTGTGCATGTAAGTCCTAATCATCTTGGCTCGCATTCTTATACCCCACAGCTGGAACATTTATTGTATTTTCTGGACATTAATTTATTTTAAGGAAATTTATTGAACATCTCTCAACATGCACCAAGTATAAGATTCTCTGTGTTGTGATACATATATATATATATATGTATATTTTTTATTCACCATATTTCTAAGCACAACATTTAAAAAGAGCTCCATGAGTTGCATTGATAATGGAAATCATACTATCAAAACTATCATTATGGGGAGGGGTAGGGGAAAGGAAAGAAGGGAATGGAATTAATATGAGAAAATGAAAAAAAGGAAACAAAGTCTTTGTAAAGAGGGAGGGATGGAGGGGTTTAAGGGAGGGCAGGGGAAGGGGAAAAAATAAGAACCAAGAGATTATGTAAAGGTGCATATCTCCAATGATGAATGTCATTATATTGTACACCTAAAATGTACCAATAAAAGGATATACAAAAAAACCTTACCATTATGTAGTCACCATGACACAAAGCAAGGTTAATGCAATAAAGATGGTAAGGAAATGGCTTGGAGAGATTGTAGAAAGAAAAATCGGTAAGGCATAATGCCTGTTTGGTGATAGGTCAAGGAAAGGAAAGAGTTAGAGAAGGCATTCTGAGCTTCTGAGCCTCAGTGACTGATACTAAGGACCAACTCTGCCTTAGAAGAAGGGATGTGGAGTTGAGAAGTGGAGCTGCCTTGGGCATGGGGGAGGTAGTGGCCTTTGATGGTTCCGATGGGTGAGTCAAGCTGCCTGGTTTATATGAAGTCAGGGTGTGGAATTTCAGGACTAACGAGTTCCTGCCAGGAACCTGTTCATGGTAATGCTCCAAGGGATGTGCTGTACAATTTCATGGTTGTTTTTTCTGTAAATACTCAAAATTTGGCAATGACTTCCTGACCACAGACCACACTGCTGCCGCCAAATGCTACAGGGGGAATATATAGTGTTACAAGGAAATAGATTGATAGCAAAATATAAAACCTAATGTTTTATTGCTAACTATATGATACTAATAGAGCTAAGATCAGAAATGAGAGTGGAGTGAGGATTCTATAGTGGGAAAATAAAGTCTTCTTACTTCCTTCCCCTTCCCTAATCAGTTTTAGTATTGTTTATATAAAAGTTTTGGGCATTTGCTAGTTTTCATCTTGGAAACCTACAATATTGGAGGAAGCTATCTAATAAATGGTCCTGTTCTGCTTTCTTGCCCATCCCAAACTCCTCAAGGAAATATTCCAGGAAGCACCCAGCATATGAAAGAAAGGACAGGAGAAGAAAAGCAACCAGGGTTTAAATATTAAATCAAGCTTTCAACTGTCTTCACGACATACCCACCTATTCTTTGGGGCTCAGCGAAAGTCACTTTTTGGTGGTTTTTACAACCAGGAGTGCTTATCTCCGCCACCATTGGTGCTCCAACAGCACTTACCTGCATGGCTCAGGACTAAGTCAGAGCTGAATTCCACCTGTTTGCAAGGCCAGACAATGAGCCACTGCCCGTGGGGTGGAAGGGAAGAAGCAGCTTACCTGATTAGATGAGGCACACACTCGATGTTGGCGGTTTTGGAGGTGAAGGGGGATGCGACCGATGCTTCCTGCTCTGACAGCGAGATGCCTGCATGAGCCATTTTCAAAGCCTGGAACGACCCAGCCATGTCATACCCAGGACTTTTCTGGCCTCTCTCTAACTGCTCAATCACCATGAGGCTGTTCTTCTATTCCAGAATTATAACATGGTACCCATGCATCTCTGGGTCTCTATTCATGTTGCCACTCCATCTGGACTAGTCTCTCTTCCCTACCATAGTCAGCAGAGAAAGAGGCACAAACTAAACAGTGCTCCTGAGGTAGAACAGTGGTGTGTGTAGTGTGTGTGTATGTGTGTGTATGTGTGTGTGTGTGTGCATTCCACACGTGTATTAGCTGGGGGGAGGGGTTACATGTCAAAAGCCTATTTAAAAATGACCGAATTTGGATGAATACTGTCTGAGCACCTTCACCATCTCAGTTCAGGATGTTTTCACAACAAATGGAGAAAGAGAGCTAGTCTCCACCTTTCTCTACTCTGCCTGCACTAGTTAACCAGCTAACTGCTGAAAGGGGCATAAAGCATCACCACTGGAGACAGAGATCGGATGACACGTTCACACACTCAGCGGGGTACATGTTGCTTCACTGACATAGCGGGTAATTTCTTTCTCATCAAGACTAAAACCGAGAGCAGACCAGTCAGTAGACAGACCAGAAAGGCCCAAATCCTATAAGAATTGTGTGGGCATAAAATGAGATTTTACATTTATGTAGTTCAATAAAATACAGACTACCTAGTACCACGGCTGGTTTATATTGCATAATTTAAGATCATCTACCATATGTCAGAATTAGCTTCGTGCATGATTCTCTCTCCCTTCAAGCAACGAACTCTTTGGGAAGCAGACTATGCCTTCTTTAGTGTTTGATACCTTTGTTCTAAATCCATATAATTAACAATAATGTGTGTTCATTCTAGGTTTTAAGGAACAGACACAACTAGCTCTAGTGTCTTCTCGTGAAACCACACAGAAGAACTTATGATAAATCTCTAAGTATGAACATAGTTTCCACAAGACTTTCAAGAAAATACTTAAAAGAAAAAGTAAAACAGATACCCAGATCTTCCCAGTCTTTTCAATGTTTTTTTCTTTTGTGGTATTGGGGATTGAACTAAGGGCCTTGCCTATGTGAGGCAAGTGTTCTACCACTTCTTCACTTCTTCTCAATTAGCTACTAAAAATTTCCTTATGCATATAATCCTCAAAGTAAACTGTTGCTTCAACTATATCATTAGAATGCAGAATTGAAAACAGGTATTATTCTATTGTGTATAAGAAATCTTATGAGAATCATTCAATTATGGTTGTGCTATAGTATGTAATAACTGAATAGTCTAGGATTTCACTGACTGCAAGAGTTTCTGGTAAAGCTAATTTTAAAAAATTACCCCCAGAGTATAAATTTGGTAGAGACCGATACAATTTACACATAGTTCAAAATTTTATGATCTATTTCAAACTTTTCCTTCACGCAGACTTTATCACCTGTTTGCCTTCAGGCAAAAACACTTCATCTCCCTCCCAGAGACTTCATTTCCTTTTTTTAAGTCCACATTTGCAGGGCGTAATAGTGACATTCAGTGCGAGGAGTTGGCACCTGTACACGGATGCATGACACATCTTAATTCTTTCTATTCCCTGATTGAAAATACAAGAGACTGAAACCACCTCATCATGTTGAGCCCCTTCTGGGTCTAAAATACAGGAAACTCAGTGGTGCTGCCCCTGCCTTTATAATTCCAGGGGTTGCCTAAAACAGCTATATTGATTCATCTCACTTACTTCTCTCCACTTCTAGCTCATATTCAGGCAGAGGTGGGTATGCTCTGCAAAGAGGTCAGGTAGTGGCTCATGCAAGGATGAAGAGACAGGCCCCAGGAGACTTTGGGGTCCTTAACAGGGACACTGAGCTGCGCATATGAGCAGAAGTCATTCCTACTCACCCCGCAGTCGTTGGCTCCATCTCCGCACATGCCCACATAGTAACTGCAGAGGAAAGGACACAAAATATTCATAGCTGAATAGCCCATTGGGATCGTTTCCATCATAATTAACTTAGACACGGTATGTGTGTGCTTTGTGTACGTGTGTGTGTGTGTGTGTGTGTGTGTGAGCATGTATATGTGTCCTGAACTCATGTGGAACCAGGCTGAAGAAAAATGGTGTGAAGAGACCTAATCCCAAAGGAAAAAAGCCATTGCATTATTTAAATTGTTTCAATCAATCACAATGAAATGGCACTGATATCGCCAAGGACATTGGCAAAGACAGTCATTGCACACTCCAAAAGAAGTCCTATTTAATTATATCCATGAAGGCCAAGTTTAAGAGTATGCCGTCACCATTACAGCATTTCCCAGCAGAGCTTACAGTTCAGGCACCAGGATGAGAAACATTCGGGATATAGTTTAACAGGTATAACTAAAGACATATACATATCTTCTTGATGCATCTCAGAATGACAATGAAATAATATGCTCCCCATTTATAACAGATGCATATGCAAATAAGATATAAATACAAGGCTAACAATTAAAGATGCTACCAGGGGAAAGGAATTTCTTATGCAAGACACAATCTGTCTTCTATTACAAGTAAACAATGCATTACAGGTCTTGGTTGAAGGCAGCATGATCTAAGATTCAGGGGCTTCTTTACAAAAACAGATAGAACTGGGAACTCAAATTATCAATAAAGAGAAAAATAAAAGACACATAATAGGAAATAGAAAGGTAGACCTTTCTTAAATAGGAAGGAGATGGAGAGAGGGAGAGGGAAGGAGAAAGAAGACCATGAAACAAATTTAAATGTGTTGTATATATGAGCCAGCTCCACAAAAGAAATGTAAATATGTACTGCAAACATGTGCTATTAAAACAACCATAAAATCAACAAGGTGAAAAAGTAAATTTCTCACAGCATATTCTTATTATTAAGCAGAACATAAGAAAGGATAATTTTCATAGGTCAAAAATGCTCAAATGTGGGGAAGTTCATATGATTTGACCTAATGTTAGATGAGTATAGATGAAAATCACCCTGTCAATATTTGCATGGACTTGTCATGCCTCCCAACAAGCGCAGAAAATGCATGTCTGCCCTCTATATCACACCAGAAATCCTTCATCTTCTACTCAGAGAAAGAATCCAGGAACCCTTATGCACATTGTTCACCGTAAAAGTACAAAAAGGAAAGCAGGGAAATTAAGAAGACAGCTCCTACTGAGGAAGCATGTGTCTTCCTCAGTTAATTTTGCTTTAGGCCAATATAGCTTTTCAGAACTAAGCATTTAAGTTGACAACATTTCTCAGAGATTTGAGACAGGTAAATTACTTTCTTCAGCCAATACCACGCAATGGCCATGTGAGTGATGCAGGTTAGTTAACCTGAAACATTATTTGAGTTAATAGGCAGTATTTGAGACTTTCCTTATGAATGTTTGGACAACAAAATACAATGGTAAAAGTCTCCTGCTTTCACCTATCAGCCATTATCTAAAATTTCACTTTACTTGTTTTTAAAATCTGCAGGCCAGAAACTGTAAAACCCCCAGCACATAATGAGTGGATCTCTTCTCTATTAAACTATTAAAGAATAGTTTCACTCTGCTGTGTCTTGGTCAGCTGTGGCTCTGAGTGAGATAAGGAAGGACATTCCCTTGACTTTGGTCTCCAGATCTAATCCATGCCAGGTGCCATTTCACTTCTTGCCAAGAGGGCTGGACATTGCTCACACTTCCTAACGAACCAGACTGGTAACTTCAGGGTATAATGCACAGTTTCCCATTTTTCCCATTCTGAGTTATACAACCCCTTCCCACAAACACACACACACAATTTCTTTTCTCCACATCTAAGCAGGAGATCTTCTTCTAAGATATGCTTTATGGGCCACAAAATGAATTCCGTCAGGGGTACACAGCTTCCGAATTGACCTCAGTGGTCTTCACCTCCCAGTATTGTACTCATGGTATTGTGAAGTCCACTCCCTTGCATGTGGGCTGGACCTAGTGTCTTGCCTCTAATGAAGAGAAGGCAGAAAACTGGTGGGAGGTCACTTGTCACTTCTGAGATTAAGATATGAAAAACAGCATTCTCTCCCCACCCCCGCCTGTTTCCCTCCCTCCCTGCTTCTTCTTGCTAGCTCACTCTTATGAAAGCCAGCTGCCATGTTATGAGCTTTCTTATGTAAGGGCCCATGTGTCAAGGCACTGACATCGACTTCTTCCAACAGCCAGTGAGAAACTGAGGCTCTTAGTGCAACTGCCCACAAGAAACTGAATGCATCCGACATGTGAGTAAAGCTTGTGTTGGATCCATCCCTCATGAAGCACTGAGATGACTGTGGTCCTGGCTGACCCCCGAGGACAGCTTGTGAGAGACCCTGAGCCAGGGACTTAGTTGAGCTACACTTGGATTCCTGACCCACAGAAATGGGAAATAATAAACGGTGTCATTCTAAGCCCCTAAGGATTGGCAAAACTTGTTACTGGGCAATAGATAACAAATGCATTCTCTTATCACGTCATACCACCTACTTTAATTTCTGAAATTCTTCAACAAGGCTTGATTTTTGCCCTGGAGACATTCTTGCAAAAATGGTTCCATTTACCAGAATCTAAAGAGAAAAATAAGATTGTAATAAGATTAGGGAGAAGAACTTTATAAACATAGAAATTTTGAAAAATCATTTCTGGGCACTGATTTAATATAGCATTGGGTGGTATGTCATTAGACCTAATGTCAGCAAAGGGAAATAAGGGATTTAATGCTTAGATATTGAACTTTCACTTTAGACCCTCCATCACAACTCTATTGCTTTTTCCAGACCATTTTTCCAAGGTGAGGTGACCTCTAATTAAAAATAATAACTACAGAGCAACAGAACATAGGAATAAACGTGCCTTTTACTACACACTGTCTCCATAGTTGCAGCACAGGCAGAGAAAAGAGCAAAAATCAGAAGTTGAGAAACAAGATTCTGTTCTCAGCTGTGTCCCAACCAGCTGTGCATATCTCAGGCAAGTGACTTAACCTCTCCATTTCCGTTTCCCATCCCTACAATGTGGAACTGCACTAAGAGCTCTCTCAAATCTCTGGGGGTGTAGAATCTACAGTCCTTGACTGGTAAGGTGACAATTTTTAAGACACCGCTAACAGATGGTTGCTTCTCTCAGCCTGTGCTCCATTTATCACCTCCACATTGACAGCCCAGCCCCACACAGCACTATTTTAAAAATAGGACACAGGGAGGACAAGGTAACAAATGGTTTTGAAAGTAAACCATGCGGCCTTTGGTTCTTCCTGCTGTAATTTATGAATCCAGATAGAAGGGGAATACAGCTCAGCCTGACATGAGTTGGTGGCTTTCAGAGAGAGAGAGGCTGATCCTCAAAGTGGGCAGCATACCTGAAACCATTCTCTAGGTGGGAAGGAAGGAAGGATGGAGATTGAGATGGGACAAAATAATGCAAACTCTGAAGGGAAAGCCACGTATCTACGCAGGACCAGGGAGGTGTAGGCAGGACCAGGTGCCTTCTGTGAGAGCAGAGCCTCTTCTAGGGTATTTAACCTCTACCTCAGGGGTCCCCATCCAGAAAGCAGACTGCACAGCAGAAGGAGAGTGGACAGTGGGTAAGCAAGAGAAGGAAGCTTCATCTGCTTTTACAGCTTTCCTATTACCTCCTGTCAATCAGCAGCAATAGTAGATTCTCATAGGAGCAAAAATCCCACTGTGAACTGCTCATGGGAGGGATCTAAGTTGTGTGCTCCTTATAGGAATCCAGTGTAATAAGAATAGAAATAAAATGCACGGTATGTAAAATGCACTTCAATCATCCTGAAACCAACCCCACCCACCCCATTGGTGAAAAAATCGCGTTCCATAAAACCAGTCCCTGGTTCCAAAAAGGTTGAGGAGCACCACTGTACCTCTAAGACAATTTCAGTGATGCTCACTCTCATTATTCTCTTCTATTTTGCCTCACTAATGTGAAAAGCAAAACAAAACACTTCATGTCTCCAGTACTTACTTTTGGAAGCAAGCTGTTGAAATGCTGAAATATCACTTGGTATGATTTCCCAGTCATTGCAAAATGGTAACCGCTCCCTCTTCCCCCATCAGGTAATGAACTTTTTCCAATATTTATGTAGGTTTCCTAAAATCAAAAGGGCATCATTTCTACATGAGCTAGCTCTTCAAGAATGTCTCTGCTTTGCTATGCTTCACAGAAGGAAGTGTATTCAAGCTGCATGACAAGGAGAGGGGCAGCACAAGCAAAATGTGCAGTTGGCTCATGGAACATTGGCCCATGAGAAGAAGATACCCAAATTGTCCTTTGTTCCCCAAACCTCACGAACATGTGATACATGGTAATGACAACATGGTACTCCAAAGCATGGTACTGTGGATCCTTTCCTGAGAAATCAAACTTGTGATGTCAGTCTACTGAAAAAAATCAGCCCAATGCACCACTTCATAATTATGAGGAAGAAAGAAAACATTCTTCCATTCCATCCTTCTCCTTTTCACACAACCTTCTATTTCCTAAGATCTCTTGCCCTTCTTTGTTCCCATTCTTCAGTGTAAAGTAGGCAGATTCTTTTTTGACAGTTCCTGACTTCTCTCCACACCTGAGATTTGGTCTCTGTTCTGGTCCCACCAAAACAAGTATCACGGTCCCCAGATACTCCTCTGTGCCCTCTGTCCTATTGCACCAGCACTACTCCTTCTCTCCTATCTTCCACCTGTCAGTTTTGCTCTCTGTTCCATCATAGCCCCACCTGGTTCTAAGCTGGGAGTGCTTTCGTCAGTTTTCATGTCTCTAAGGCACAAGAGTCAAGACCCAAAACTTAAAGGAGGAGAGGTTTAGTTTGGCTCATGGTTTCAGGGGATTCAGTTCATTCTTAATTGTTTTCAAAGCAGAAACATCATGGCAGAGGGGCATGGTAGAGCAAAGCTGCTCAGTTAATGGTAGCTGGGAAGCAAAACAGAACAGAGACAAAGAATAGGGGCCAGCACTTAGATACAGATGCCTCCATGACCCAAGACACACCCACAAGTATCTAATCTCTAGGTAGCTCCCAAGCCAATCAAATTTACCATTAAGCTTAACCATCACAGGGAAGAAGCAACTGACGGAAACCATGTCACTAGCTGATAATGATTTTTCATGCAATGTTTCTCAGAGGGCCTTACATTTGTGTAGGATCCTGAATTCAACTAGTATAGGAGGGAGAACATTTTATTTATTAGTGAAATTCACCTCAAGGAAAACACTGTATTTAGAAGAAACAAATCTGTTCTATTGAATTTAGAGGCAAAGTAAAGACTCACTTCCTCTTCCAATTGCAAAACCACTGACAAAAGACATGTTCTAAAGACAATGGCAGAAGTCCTTTCCTGCTTGTGCTAGGAAGGTGGGAGAGGAGGTTTGGTGGCCAGAGAGGAGGAAGAGGGAGAGGCTAAGCCTGCTATGGAACTTCTCCCAGTGACAACCAGATCTTCAGTAAAGATACTAAACTCATCCATGAGTAGTGAGGCTGGGCTCTGTTAAAGTTAGCAAAGGCCCTGAGTGATATAATACAGTGAACTCCAGGCAGCAGGGATTGATGCAGAAGCAGGTGAATTGAATGGGAAGTTAGCACCAGAAATCAGTTGAAAGTATAGAGAGTGCCGTTATCTTTCTTTTTTTGCTTAAGAGTAGGAAAAATTTATTGAGTAAAAGATAGCTTCTGTCTAAGAGAGACAGAAAGGCAATGGAAAGTGGGTTGCCCGTGAGTGTGGTTATATTTCATAGCCTATGTGCGACAGGTTTGAATCAAACTAAGCCACCTCTTCCCCAGGCATAGAGAGGGCCTCTCTATGTAGCTGTAAAGTCTGTGTCCTGCACAAAGGTGCACTCTGTATTTAATGATCTGAAAGGCAGTTCAGCTTGGAGTAAGGGGGCATTTCTGTACTTCATCACCTAGAGGGCCATCTCTTTGAAGTCATTCAAAGGGAATGACACCACCTTTGGGGATGGATGTCAGGCTCTGGCCCAGTCTCATCATATGAAAGAGCTATTCCATTGCTAGAGAAGCCTGTCAACTTCATGTCACAGGCACAGAGCAATCTAAATGCCCATGGATTTGTATGGAATCAAACAGACCTACATCTGGTTTCTGCTCTGCAACTCATCAGCTTCCATCTTGGCAAGCGTACTTCTCTGAGTCTGTCTTCTTTTCTGTAAAATGAATAGCTTGCCCAACTACATAGGGTCATTGTGAGGATCAATGGGAACTATGGCCATAAATCAGCAGCTCTCAGCCTTCACTGCACGTTGGAATCCCTGAGAGAAGGGCTGATGTGGACTCACAGCCCAGGGATTCTGATCTAATTGCACCACCTGCATTAGGAAGCTTGAGACCCCCTCAGGTGATTGTGAAGTACAGCAAGGCTGAGGAGCAGCACTGGAGGTTCTTTGCAAACTAAACACTATGGGTGGGTGTGAGGGATTATGACCGTGATGACTTCTATACCAGAGAAGGCTGTGTAGTGCCAGCTCCATAGTCTCTCAGCCCAGGATTGTGGAAGAAATCTTAATGTTTGCTCACATGCTTCCCCGGTCCAGTTTCTTGCTTCTCTACCAGTTGCCAGGTCACAGAAGCAGCAAAATTCTCTTCTGGTTCATTAGCTTCAACAATGATCACCTGGCTGCCCGGAGGAATCATTTCAGAATTCTTTGCAACAGTAATAGCCGTTTGAAGATTGTCACCTAAAAGGTAAAGAAACTCTGCTTGTTTTAAGTGCAAATCTCTTAAGAGCCAACCAGAATTGAGTTTCCCTTCTCCACTCTTTCTTGATGCTCTTTGGGCGTGTTCATCAATTCCTGCTTTATAACTATTTATCTTCCCCTCTGCCCAAGACTGTCTGCCCCTAGTGGACAAACACTATGTTCACATCTCTTTTCCATGATAATCAGTATCAGATCTGGCCTATTGTGTATTTTCAGAACAAGCACAAATGAATAAAGAAATATTCAAGCAGTTTATGAGTGACTAACCCTCAGGTGACAGCTCATACCTGTGAACATAATATGAAGCCACTCTCAGGATCTGGATTCCAGTCAACCAGAGAAAAGAACACTTAGACTTTTCCCTTCTTTCCTTTCCCCTCCCACTTTCCCTACACCTTTAGACCTTTCCTTCCTATTTTACATTATCAATTATACATTTTGATCCTTATTTACACTTTTTGCAAATAGGGAGGGGTGGAGGGGGTGAAGGGAAGGCAGGGGAATGGGGAAAAAAATAAGAACCAAGACATGTCATGTAAAGATACAAGATCCCAATGATGAAGGCAACTGTATTGTATATCTAAAATGTACCAATAAACTTAATGGAAAACAAAAGAATACTTAGGCTGGGGCCAGGCCATGCTTGGGTTTGGCGAGCATGTACCACACCTGGCCCTTTTGCTCTGAGCACTATCCACCAGAGCTCACAGCCTTTACAGAAATTTCACAGGGATTCTTCAGGACAGCACATCTGTTCTCACCGTTGTAGTTGCCCTGAGCATATTCCAGTTAGCAAGGCATGCATTAGGCAGAGAGGAGATATGGTCCATACCTCCAAAGCTTCTGATTCTGCTGCAGGACGTACACAAGAAACAGCCCCATGGGATAACAAACTCAGCAAAAGGACATTTTCTTTCTGCCTCAGTCACATGAGCTCACTCAGCTCATGCATCTTTGTGGGGGGGGTGTATTCATTTGTTTAGGTTTTTTATAGCTAGAATACAATGAACCTGTCAGACCTCCAAAAAACATACCTGTAATCATCACGGTCCTGATGTGGGCCTCGCTTAGTTCCTTCAAGACCAGCTTCGTTTCCTTTTTCAAGCGATTCTCCATTATGAGAAGTCCCAGAAATGTTAACTCTGACTCTGCATTCTCCCTTTGGATTCAGGAGAAAATCAATATTAAGGGGTAGCCAAGAAAATTCTTCACACTTAACCTTACTTCTTCCTAAAATTTCTTTCTACATTTTATTAATGTGATACAGTACTTGCACATGTGAAATGAAAAAGAACCCCAGTGCTTACAATGAAAGCCAGTAGCCTGTCTCCTCCACACCCCTGTGGAGACAGACGTTATTGTTATTAAGCAGACATGTACCTTTTCTTATTTAAGTATTAAACCTGGGCTTGTGCTATTTTGAAACATAATTTAATAAGTTAATTTTTTTTTTGCTGCCTTGGTATAGGAAGTACAAAAAATGTGCCAAGTAGTATTTTGTTTATGCTGTTGTAATGATCACATATATAACATCACTAGTACTAGAAAAGTGAATGCTGCTTACTTATTCAGTGCCTCAATGTATAGAGTGGCAATCAGGCATTCAAATCAAAGTTTGATCATATATAGCTCTATCACAATTTTGTAAAACCCATCTTCCCAAAGGAAAACATCCCCCTCCACAATCACACCTTAGTGATGCCATTGCTTTTTGGCAGCACATACATTTATGAAGGACTAGCTTCAAAAATGGAGCCCATAGAGAATAAAACTAAATCAAAACTTTCTGAGGAGCATCTTAAGAATTAACCAAGAATGGCAACCACTTCCATCAATCCAGACATTACTGTATTAGTGTCACAAAAACATGGTCAAATAGCTCTGTTTATGTTGTCTTTTTTCTGTTATAATAGAAAACACTTTAAAAGAAAGTTTTGACTTATATACCATATATATATGGTATATATATATATGGTATATATATGGCATAATATATGTGTGTGGGGGGGGGTGTATACAGCCCAGGCAAACCAAATGTTGGACACCTGTATTTTAGAAGTTATACAAGTATGATTGAAAATATAGTAATAATGTGAAATAGGAAGAAAAGGTCTAAAGGAGTAGGGGAAGTGAGGGGCAGGGAAAAGGAAAGAAGGGAAAAGAAAGAATATGAGAAAATAAACAAATGGAAACAAAGTCATTGTAAATAGGGAAGGGTGGAGGGGGTGAAGGGAGGGCAGGGGAAGGGGGAAAAAGTAAGAACCAAGATACATCATGTACAGGTACAAGATCCCAATGATGACTGTAACTGTATTGTATACCTAAAATGTACCAATAAACTTAATAAAATAAAGAACAAAAAGAAAAAATAGTGAATATTTAAATTTTTTTAAAAGGTTATTGCAAAGAAAGACACATTGCCATTAATCTCCCTCACTTCAAACACACTGATCCCATCATTCTTTCCACTTTCTGAAGCAATTTTGGAAGTCTTCTTTCATGAGTGTCTTTAGTTGCACTATTGTGGCTGCATTGATGTCCCAAATTGATTCAGAATGTTTCGTTTTCATGGTCATTTTGACTTGGGGAAAGAGCTAGAAATCACACAGTGGAAGATCCAGTAAATAAGTTGAATCTGGACAAAGCATACTGTTTTTAGAAGCCTGCTTTTTTATTGAATGGCACTTAGCAGCAACATTCAGTGTATTTTTGACAATACCTCCTGAAGACACTCACCAAAAAGGACTTCCAGAACTGCTTAAGAGAGTGGCAAGAATGATGAAATAAATGTGCTCAAAGGGAGGAGTAGTATTTAGAGGGGGATTAATAGCAATTGGTCTCACTGTAATAAATTTTTTAATTTAAATATTGACCAAATATTTCCATTATACTTTGTATTAAATACTTTGGTGAGTATTCAAATAATCAAATACCAATCCTGTCTTAGTGAGATAGAGAATGCTATAAAAATTTACTATAACTTGGAATTTTTAAGAGACTCTTCCCATCATTTAACTTTATTATTTTCTATTATAAATTAGATTACTGCTAACTAGAACCAAAAAGACCAAAAATCTTCTCACAGGTTCATTGTTTATTTTGTTACATTCATAGAAATTTTATTTATTTTAATAGTTTATTGATGTTTAATTGGAATGCAATTGAATGTAGACACTTTGACAATATGCATACATCTGTGCAACCATCACTGTCATCAAAATAATAAATATATCTGTCACCTCCACACATACTTATAACTTCCTGCTCTTGTCTTTACATTGTGTTTTGTTTTGCTCTATGACCAGAATATTTGTGATCTACCCTCTTAACAAAATTTTAAGTGTACAATACATTATCATTAACTATAAGCAGTATGTTGTACAAATCTCTAGAACATATTCACCTTGCATAGATAAAACTTTATGCCCATTAAACAACTTCCCACTTCCCTCTCCCCTTTACCCTGGTAATAACCATTTTATTTCTACTTCTGAGTGTGACTATCCAGGTGCTTTATGTATGTGGGATCATGCAGTATTTGTCTTTCTATGACTGGTGTATTTCATTTAGCATGATGTCCTCCATGTTCACCCATGCTGTTTCATGTGGCAGGATTTCTTTCTCTTCTAAGACTAAGTACTAGTCCATTGCATGTATATATTACACTTTTAAAATCTTTTCATCCACTTATAGACATTTAGTCTATTTCTATCTTGGCTACTGTAAATAATGCTTCAAAGAAGATGGGAGTACAGATGCCCCCTTTGAGATCCTGATTTGAATTCTTTTGGATACATACCCAGAAGGAGGATTGTGACATAGCTAGATCACATAGTCATTCTATTTTTAACTGTTTGAAGACCATCCAAACTATATTTCATAGGAGTTGCACCATTTTACACTCCCACTAACTGTGTACATAAGTTTTTCCATATCTTCAGATTTGTTATCTTTTTTTCCCAGTACTGAGGATTGAACCCATGGCCTCACACATGATAGGCAAATGTTCCACCACTAAGCTACATCCTCAGCCTCATTTTTTCTTTTTTTTTTAACTACCATCCTAATAGGTATGAGGTGATCTCATTGTGGTTTGGATTTGCACATAAGTGGTGGTTAGTGAAGTTGGGTCCATTTTCAAACACCTGGTGGCCATTCATATGTTTTATTTAAAGAAATGCACATTGAAGTCCCTGGTTCATTTTTATTTATTTTTTGCTATTGAGTTGTGTTTCTTAGGGCTGGGGATTTAGCTCAGTGTTCCCGCCACCTGCATCACAGACTCAAGGTCCCAAATAGGATCCCAGGTACCAAAAAAAAAAAAAAAAAAAAGAGTTGTGTTTCTTATACATTTTAAATATTAAAAGATAAATGTCGAAGAAAATATAAAAATTCTAAACACTCCAATTACAATAAGTGAAATTGAAAACATAATTAAAAATTTACCAACAAATAAAGCCCAGGTCCTGATGGTTTCACTGCTGAATTCTACAAGACATTTAGAGAAGAGCTATTGTCACTACTCTTTAAACTTTTCAATGAAATTGAAATGGAAGAAAAACTTCCAAATTCACTCCTGGAAGCAAGTGTTACCTTGATTCCAAAACCAGGGAAAGACCCAACCAAAAAAGAGAACTACAGGGCAATCTCCCTAATGAACATAGATGCAAAAATCCTCAATAAGATACTGCCAAACAGAATACAGAGGGTCATCAAGATCATATACCCTGACCAAGTCGGATTTATTCCAGGGATGCAAGGATGATTCAGCATACATAAATCAATAAATGTAAAACACTATATTAATAGAGTCAAGGACAAAAACCATATGATCATCTCAATAGATGCAGAGAAAGCATTCAACAAAATTCAACACCCACTCATGATAAAAACCCTGCAGAAAATTGCAATAGATGGTCTTTATCTTAACTTGATAAAGGCTATCTATGAAAAACCAACAGCCAACATCATACTAAATGGTCAAAAACTGAAAACCTTCATGCTAAAATCAGGAACGAGACAAGGATGTCCACTATCACCACTCCTGTTCAATGTTCTGGAAGCATTAGCCACAGCAATTAGACAAGAGAAAGAAATAAAAGGAATAAAGATAGGAAAGGAAGAAGTGAAACTGTCATTATTTGCTGACAATATGATACTCTACGTAGAAGATCCAAAAAACTTTACCAAAAGATTTCTAGACTTAATTGACAGATTCAGTAGAGTAGCTGGATACAAGGTTAACACTCAAAAATCAATAGCCTTGGCCAGGGATTTAGCTCACTGGTTCTGGCACCTGCCTTGCAAGCGCAAGGTCTGGAGCTCAATCCCCGGCACCAAAAAAAAAAAAAAAAAAAAATCAATAGCCTTCTTGTACACAAATAACAGACTCACTGAGAGTGAAATTAGGAAACCAATCCCTTTCATAATAGCATCCAAAAAAATGAAATATCTAGGAATCAATCTAAAGAAGGAAGCAAAAGGCATTGAGAATACATTGAGAATACATTCTCAATACATTGAGAATTACAACACTCTGATAAAAGAGATAGAAGAGGATATAAGAAAATGGAAAGACATCCCTTGTTCTTGGGTAGGAAGAACCAACATAGTGAAAATGGCCATACTTCCAAAACTGTTATATAGATTCAATGCAATCCCAATTGAAATCCCAACAGCATATTTCACAGAACTAGAGAAAACAATCCAAAAATTCATTTGGAACCAGAAGAGAACTAGAAAAGCAAAAGCAGTTCTAGGGAACAGAGACACGGCAGGGGGTATCACAATCCCCAACTTGAAACTATACTTCAAAGCCACTGTGGTAAAAACAGCATGGTACTGGCAAAGAAACAGTCAGGAGGATCAGTGGAATAGATTAGAAGATGCAGAAACAACTCCAGACATACTCAGCTACCTCATCTTTAACAAAGGAGCCAACCATCCTCACTGGAGGAAAGATAGCCTATTTAATAAATGGTGTTGGAAAAACTGGATTTCAACTTGCCAAAGATTAAAATTGCCCCCTATCTTTCACCATGCACTAAACTAAAATCAAAGTGGATTAAAGATCTACACATTAAGACAGAAACACTAAACTTACTGGAAGATAAGTTAGGTAGAACTCTTGAAGACCTTGGCATAGGAAAAAAACTTTATGAACAAATCTTCAGTAGCATGGAAACTAGTACAAAGAACCAACAACTGGGATCTCATCTTATTAAAAAGCTTCTGCACTGCAAGAGAAACCACCAACAGAGCTAAGAGACAATCTACAATGTGGGGAAAACATTTTACCAGCGGTTCCTCAGACAAAGGGCTACTATCTAGAATATAAAAGAACTCAAAAAAAATCAGACCCCCCCCAAATATAAACACCCAATTCAAAAATGGGCATCTGAAATGAACAGATATTTCTCAGGCAAAGAAGTAGAAGCTTCTATAATAAACATATGAAAAATGTTCAACATCACTGGTCATTCAAGAGATGCATATAAAAACAACACTGAGATTCCACCTCACCCCAGAAAGAATGGCTGGTATCAAGAAATCAACAAATAACAAATGCTGGCAGGGCTGTGGGGAGAAAAGGAACCCTTCTCCATTGTTGGTGGGAGTGCAGAGTGGTACAACCACTGTGGAAGTCAGTATGGAGATACCTCAAACAACTAGGATTAGAAGTCCCATTTGACCCAGCTATTCCCCTGCTGGGTATCTTCCCAAAAGAATTAAAAGAATTATACCACAGTGATACATGCTCACGCATGTTTATAGCAGCACAGTTTATAATAGCTAAAACTTGGAAAGAGCCCTAGTGTCCATCAACTGGAGTCTGGATAAAGAGGATGTGGCTTTTTTTTATCAAATGGAGTATACTCAGCCATAAAGAACGAGAAACTAGAGATATTTGTAGCTAAGTGGATGCACATTGAGGCCATACTCGTAAGTGAAATAAATAGGACATACATGTATAAATATCAAAGTTTCTCTGATGTGAAAAATTAAAAGTGTAAATAAGGATCAAAATGTGTAATTGATGCTGTGAAATAGGAAGAAAAGGTATAAAGGAGTAGGAGAAGTGGGAGGGGTAGGGGAAAGGAAAGAAGGGAAAAGAAAAAAATATGAGAAAAGGAAAAAAATGGAAACAAAGTCTTTGTAAGTAGGGAAGGGTGGACCGGGTGAAGAGAGGGCAGGGGAATGGGGAAAAAATAAGAACCAAGATATATCATGTACAGACAGATACAAGTCCCAGTGATGAATGTAACTGCATTGTATACCTAAAATGTACCAATAAACTTAATGGAAAAGAAAAGTAAATGTTTTGCAAATATTTTCTCCCATCCTACGGGCTGCTATTCAACACTGGATAGTTTTCTTATCTGTGCAGGAGATTTTTAGTTTAATAACCTCAAACAGAAAATGAAACGGGACCTTCATCTCACACTGTACTCAAAAATCAACTGGAATTGGATTAAAGTCTTAAGCATAAGCCTCAGAACTATGAAGGTTCCTAGAGGAAACCATAGGGAAAAGTTTTCCTAACATTGGCCGTGCCAACAGTTTGCAGTGATTTCTTGGATATGACACTAAAAGCACAGACAACAAAAGCAAAAATAGACCAATGCTTCTGCTTCTATTTTACAGCTTTTCCCCTCATGCACTGCTCCAGGCACTTTGGCCTCTTGTTTCTCTACAACAGTCTCAGAGGTGCAGGGTTGAGGCCTTTGTACTCACTGTCCCTGTCCCCTGCAGTGCTCTTACTATGGATGTCTACATGCCTGGCTTATTGTACTCAGATTTCTGTCCTCAGAGGACTCCCTTTGTCCCCTCATGACAAATGGTACTTTCTGGTTTTTTTGTTTTTAAACTCTCTTAACCTGTTCCATTATTTCCCTGAAGGACATTTAAGAAAATCCAATGGCTTGATAGTTCATAGATTTATTTTATTATCTATTTTCCCCAACGAGAATACAAAATTCTTGAGAGCAAGGTTTTCACTTGATCATCTAATTCATAGTAAAGGTCCATAGAAATTTGTTAAACCAATGAAAAAGAAAATCCTGATAAAGTATTTCTTCTGTCTTTTAGTTTTAGATGATATTGGTTTCCAAATTATTTCAAAGAAACTCTTTTACTTCCCTTTTCATTACTTTAAGTTTTTAGAGGTTTTTGATTTTCTTAATTGGAAATCTTTGCCAAATATAATTTGATTCCAATAAAAATCAAAACTCTATCCTTTTAAACTATTTGAAAATATTAACTAAATGCTAAGAAGCACACGGGGCTCCTGATAGTCCTTGAGGAAAACTTGCAGTGGTCAGAACTCATTTTATTATTTTGTTACATTTACAATAATGTCTATTTCACTAGTGGCTCTTAAATGAGAACCCAGCTGTGTTTGTGTATGGTTGCTCGGTGACAGCTATGCTCCACCACTAGCTATATAAATCTTTTCTTCACATGCGACCTTAACATTTGTTATTTAAATTTGTGTTTGAAAAATTATAAAATCCTACACAGTATAGGCCTTTATGCTTGCTTAAGAACAGCTAAGACCTGGAATGTTAAATCTGAGACTGTCATTCACATATTTCAAATCGAGCTTTGTGATTCTATTTCAAATATTAAAATGTTATGGCGTAAGTTTCCTAAGAGATCACCCAGTCCAACATTTTGTAGATGGAAAGACAGATGCAGAGTAAGGATGGGGCAATGATTACTATTATTTTAGGTAGACTCAGATTGCGAGCACTAATTTTAAGGCAAGAATGTCAGTATCTTACATGAAGGGCCCAATTATATATAAATGAGAATCTATTAGGAACATACATCAAATATATCAAACTGAGTAATACACTGATTATCAGCTGTTTATTTTGCCACAGTATTTCTCTACTCAGTTAATTTGAAAACAACTTTTAAAGGCTGAAGAACATTGGAAGAAAAAGATAGTGTATAGATTATTCTCTGATGAGTGCTATTTGTCCACTTAATGTAGTTAAGAATATTGAATTTTATTTCTTATAAAGAATCAATTTGTACCCACTACCTCTATAGACCTGAGGGGGGTACACTGTTGAGTTCCTCTCCCCAACTCACCCCCAAAAAAACAAATCTAAAGTATTCTGGAAGTCTTTCAAATTTTCTACTGTCTCTTTCTCTCAGCCCATTTAGTTGTGGAACACTCAAGTCAGGCCCATCATTTCAGAGGCAGAAAGAGAGTTGGTTGCATCTGGTGGGGTGACAGCTAAGACTAAGATGATTGGTATTAGCATATCCGACATCCCTGCTGCCATCTTTGTTCTGCCACCAGTCAGCATCAAGATCTGAGCGAGTACTCTCCAGTCTCACCTACACCTCCCCATCTTCATGTCAGAGAACTGGATGAGACTGGCTCTCCCTCCATCTTCTGGGCCCCCCAGTGATGTGAGTGCTCCATCTATCTCTCAGTCTCCAGGGTTCATTCTCTGGGTGCCCACAGAGCCTGGCCCAGTGATGATTTCTGACTCCTTACCTTGCTAAATCCTCCACTTCTGAAAGCTTCCTCATCCTCAGGACTTTCTGGGCGAGGGCAATCACACGGAATCCTTGTACTGTGTAATTTTTCAACACCTCTGGGAAATTCTTGGGCACTGTCAGGAGAGAGGGAAGAGGTAAGTGTAAGGTCACGTTAAAGGTCCAGGACGCTGTCTCTGGACCTTGCTTTGACTTTCACTTAATAGTCTACGGCCATACCACCCTGAATGCGCCCTATCTTGTCTGACTTTCACTTAATAAAACTGCTTTAACAGAACATGTATACCTTTGGACAAAGACCACAGGCAACTCTATCAGTGTGTTCTTATAATTCTAATGGAAATGAACACCAAAGACACGCTGGTCATTGACTGTGTCATGAACTGAGTATCTGGCCCCCAAATCCATGTTGAAGCTTAATCCCTAATGTGATTGTGTTTGGAGATGGAGTATTGGGGAGCCCTAATAAATGGGATCATGACATAAGCATATACACAAGAGATGATCTCTCTCTCCACAGCATGAGGATATGGCAAGAGGGCTGCCATTTGTAAATCAGAAAGACAGCTCTTGCTAGACACCAAATCAGCCAGCACTTTGATCTTGGACATCTCAGCTTTCAGAACTAAATGAGATAAAGTTGTAAAGATGTAGTGGGTCTAGTGGCAAAACAATTCATCTCTGGTCTTCGCTCCCACATAGCTTTCTGACTTTGGCCATTGAAGTCTCTCTTCTGTACCTGTTTCTCACCCATACGATGGGAGGGTTGTGGATCCCTGTGTCTCCATTTATCTCAGACTTTCTGTAATGCTAAACTGTTCCTGATGTTGAGCTATGCTTCCAAGGAAACCCTTAGGGTGTGACTGAAGGTGGCATTTGCATATGTGTAATATCAGAGGTTAGGGCAATGGGAAGAACTGGCAGGGCCACTAAAAGGTTAAAAAGTGACAGGTGATAGACTCACCCCTTCCTGATAGAACAGAGGCAAAAGACGCTCACTGTATGACTGAAAACAGAACAAAACAAAGCTGAGTTTGGGCTGTCATCTGTTAGTTGGAAGTATGTGGAAGACCAAAGTCAGAAAAGACAAGGCACTTGTAAGGTTTAAAAAAAGACTCCAAATAAAGAAATGAGAACAATCATTGGGAAAATCAATTCCATGCACACACTGATGGCTATCAGCAATCATAGGAAAATGCAGATGAAAATTGGGGTGGGGAGAAATGCCAATTTTATCCAAATAAACTCATTTGATGCAACAATATTCTTATAAATCTGGCTGCCACTTACAAAGTGCACATGTTTATAAGACTAAGAAATAATATAAGTCATCTCAATGTCTGGTCCAAAAAGAAAATTGTTGTGAAAATGATCAATTACCATGCTGAAATTTTGTCTAATGTACTCTAGTCTTTTTTTTTTCCTAAAAGCTTTATCTTTTCTATATTCTCCTCTCACTGGTCTGAGTCTCTAAAAACAGAGTCAGTGTTGCCGCCCAGCTCTGCTGCAGCTGACAGAGACCCTGCCTACGGGATGTGTCCAGTGTGCAGACCTCACCCTTGGGTCCCTCTGAAGGCTCCGCCTTCTCCCTCTCCCTGGCCCTCTGACCTTGAGTAGCTCCCTAGCCTGGCTCCCCATGCATCGCTCCCGCTCCCTGTTTCCTTCCCTGCTGTCCTGTTGTGATGTATTTTCATGGCTAGACCATGGCTAGACTTTACTCTCTGCCCCTGAGCCTTGAAATCATCCCCCTGACTTCACACGATCTCTGGGCCCACTTCCCCCTCCCAGAAGAGGACTTCCTCCACATTCATTTACTGTGGGGCGTTCTGTGTTCATTTGCTCTTTTCCCCCTCCCTTTCTCTTGTGGTGCCACCATTTGCTTTTTCACATTTGACCTTTAAAAAGATTTTGCCTCTGGAAAAAGAAAAGAGCCGATACCTGTTTCAGATCTGCAGAATCTGACCACCGTTTCTGGGGCACCCTTCATGTAGACATGAAAGTGACCCTCCCTGGCCAGCTGAGTGACCACAGACATCCGCTGCAGACTTGAGGAAAATGGAAACTGGCGCAAGATGACGATGGCTGCCACGGTACTCTGCATGGGCATCAACAAAAGGGAGTTTAAACAGCTTTCAAGTGCTATTTAGCAGACACACACTAAAAAAGAGGGGGTTACTCTGTGATGAGTCTGGCGACATCAGGAAGCACTGTATTTGTCATAATGTTGATGTATTTCCGGCTGCATCTAAGGGGACTTCCTCAACAAGTTGTCTGGTTTGCAAGTCCCTTCCCTTTGCGGACCTGGAGAAATCTTGATCCCTTCCAAGCCAAGCTTATTTCCTCTGTGAGGCTTCTCTCTCCCACCTTGTACTTATTTGCACCAGTATTGATTTTCTTTTCTTTTTCTGGTACCAGGGATGGAACTCAGAACCTTGCACTTGCAAGGCAGGTGGTGGCACCACTGAGCTATATCCCTGGCCCTGTATTGATTTTCCACAGGCTAACCACTACTCCAACATGAGCCCAACAGCATGTCTTGTTTTTGAAATCTAGCACAATGTTCTAGCATACATAGGTACTCAATGAGTATCTACTTAAATAAACAAATGGACAGATCCAGGACTGAAGGAACCACCAAACCAACTATGGAATTTGTTAGGAAAAAGCTAAATAATAGGCATATGAAAATACGTGAAAGAGAAGTTTCACCAGTTTCAAGGAGAAAGAAATCCTGATTTAAAGAAGCAAATCGTACCTGACTGGCTTTTGGTCCCGGTTTTATGATTGTGTTTGAATCTGACATGCCAAATTTGCAGGAGTCTACATTGCAATCTTCCAGTTTCTATTATAAAATGAAAACATTTAGAATATTTCTTGGAGAAAAATTGAGAAGGAAATCTTTCTTTTTTTGCATAAAATTTTAATCTTTTCAAAGCCCTGTTTACATATTTATCTTCCAAGATAACTATCTTCAAATATAGTCATTGTCAAATTTCTGTCGTATTGATTTATAGCAAGGACCTTATTGTAGAAGGTCAAAAAGCCAAAAATGCTGTGAATCTATTCTAAGTAGTAACTGATAGGAAAAGTGTTAGCTCCAGGTCCACGGCTCTTATTAAATGATTATATCTAGTAATTCCAGGAGGGATTACGGGATGTTATGGCTTGTGTCTGGTTGTCCCCCAAAGCCTCATGTGGTCATAGGTGGGGCTTTTTCAGAGGGGGCTAGACCTAGAGTGTGTGACATTGGCATGGATTCATGGTGCAATGTTAGGCTCAAGGGCACTAGGATTAAGGGTGTGAGTGCTACCTGCCCTAAGTAGGCTGGATAAGATAAAAGGGGCAGAGAGGTGCTGTTAAGGTTCCTTGTTGTTTTTGCTATCTTGTGCATGCCATGAACTGTTTCTCCTTTGCAAAGCCTGTCATCCAACCTGCCTTGGAGTCAGCCCATTATGGTTGAAATCTCTACAAGCTGTGAGCTAAATAAATCTTTCCCCCTTTAACTTTGTGTGTCAGGTATTTTGTTTCGGCAATGAGAGAAGGGTAACTAAAACACGTGGAGAACTATTTCCCAATATGGTAGAGCACAAAAGTTATTGGATAAATTAGAATTGTGACCTGAGATAAACATGAGATTATTTATTTATGCCATATCCATGCTAGTAGCCTTATTGAGTTAGAGAATTGGCAAGTTAGCTGCTAGCAAATTAGAAAGCACATTTGAAAAAGGTCTGGATTATTAGGATGTTTCTGGAGCAGAAATCAGTACCATCAAGAAACTATTATTAATCAATATTAAACTACAGAAAGGGAATCTAATATAAATTGTAGAAGCATAAAATGGGAGATGGTATTACACTGCGCCCTGTCACATGTTTAACCTTGGGGACCTCCATTAATTCCTGGATCTCATTTTTTTCGGAAAAATATTCTTACAACCTTTTAGACCTAAAATTCTTGAGTCTATAATGACACCTTCCCTCCCACTTATGTTTAGTGGAAGGTTCCTAACTAAATAAAGGATACTTAACTCAAGTCTGCTTCTGACTCAGCTTTAAACTGAATGAATAATCTTGCATTTTTATGCTTTCTTTGGGATAGATAAGACACTGCCCTGGCAGTTCGCAGAGAGCTAATTATGAAGATTTACGTTCCAAACAAGATTCAAACTTATATGTGACTTGAACAAGTGGGCTACCCTCCTCTAGTAAAGAAGGGGACACTATTAGGATTCAGGTCAAAGTCACAAGTAATAAATGGCTCTGCAGCTCTTCATTTTGTCAATTCCAATGAAGATGGTAAGAGTATTGCTCTGTAATAAGTAGACTGATTCTCCTCCAAGCAGAACCAGGAAACTGCTTACTATTTTGTCTTTGTGCCCCAAATCCCTCCACAGCAAACATTTTCATTTTAACTGAGTGATTTCAGAAATTTCCCTTTCTACCAGATTTCCTCTCTCATTAATCAGACCTCCAGAAGGCTAACATTTTCCTCCTGAACATTCTTCTGTTGGGCTCTTCAGGAGGAATACACCATGCCCCTGAAATAATTTGCTTCCAGTTTTTACAACCACGTTTAAATACTGTCCCGTGTTTTATGTATTACTGAGAGTGACTTTGGAACTTTGGAAGAGTGGAGGGTTGGGAGGGAATGTAATCTATTAGCTAACTAATGAATCCTCTCTACTCATTCCTCACTTCATAACCCCTTCCGGCTCATCGTCTCAGTATTCACCTGACTGCATGTGTGCAGACAAGGTGACAGAGCCACTCAGTCACAGAGGGGGACAGTGCAGAGATCCTCCCCATTTGTCATGGGAGCCTGCACCTCCAGGACCAGATTACACCCTTCAACTGTCATTCACACTGGGCTCAGGAAATGGAACAGTTGAATCAGGATCCTTCAGTTATCCAAGGCTGTCTAATATAGTAGCTACCAGCCACTGTGACTAAATTTAAATTAACCAACACTAACTAAAATTAACAAGGCAGTTCCTTCGTTGCATTACTACATTTCAAGTGCTGGATTGCCACAAATGGCACTGCTTTAGATGATCATTTCTCTGAGGGCATTTGCAGAAACTGTGAACCAGATTATGGCATGGCAGCAAGATTTCAGAGGTCAAATGGGTTTGGTAAATGTTGAATGTATCATATTCTATCTTGAATATCTGTAGTGCACCACAGAATAATAAAATTCTACAGTCAAAATATCAGTTTAGCTTTGCTTAATAGATCCCAACTCTATTTGGTTGTAGAACCCTATTTTATGTTGGACTCCTTCACAGCATTCTTTGGAGCAGAGGTTGGGAAATTCTGGAAGAATCAGGCAAGTATTCATACAAAGAAGATTCATACTTTATGATGAATCTATCTCTCTGAATTTTAACCAAAGTTGAAAAGGCTTCAGCAATCCCTGTCAGGATTCTTCAAGTTTTCCTCATTCAATTGAACAAGCTGTCACCTTACCCAGGCAGTGCCCTCAAACATCTTGAGGTCCAGAGGGTCCCCCTGGATTGTCCCATCCAGAAGGATCAGAGAGTGGCAGCTGGCCATGGCCGCACACAGGGGGCCCCAAGGTGCAGCCTTGCCAGAATCAAAACTGTGGACTTCCTGGAAACTGGTAGAAAAGATAATTAAGAAATCAAAGTCTTCAATAAAATCACTTTGCACACTCTCCACCTTAAGTCTTACTAAAGTGGAGTTCTGGTCTCCTAGCTCTTCCACTCTAACGATTCAATGGCTCCTCATGCTCTGCATGATGACACCCAGCCTCGAGCCTGGTAATCAAGGTCCCATCTGCTCCAGTTCAACCTCACCTACTGCTGCTACCTCCCGCTGATGTCCTTTTCACCCTGGATTCTAGAACCAGATGAAATTTATTGGCATTTCTATTCTTCTCTAGAGCATTCCCTGCCCTGAAAGCCCTGTTCTCTGGGCTTCCTCATTACTTAACCAGAGTATTCCGCCTGCAGAGTGATCTCTAGACAACCTTCTCCTGAGTTGGGTATGCATTTCCTTCTTGGTAGAGATTGCCACTGGTCAAATATGTCACTTCAGAAGTCATAGATATAATGGCAAGGACTTTTGCTCAGTGACACTGCAGAACTCTACAGACTTGACTCTAAAACACCACATACCTTAAGCAAGCAGTGCCTAGGTACATGGGATAGTAAAATGGATGGCAAGAAGCATGCCTGGTGGTTCCAGGCAAGTAAATCCATACATGGGCTCTCAGAGTTTCTCGCTACTCAGCCCTTTGGAGTTTGTTCCATTTCTAGAAGTTCCCAAACAGACATGCTGCCTATACAGCCCAATTTCCTCTTTGCCAGTACAGAATGTCATAGTTTTCCTTCCTCTTCTCCCATCCTAAACCTGACTAGTGACTGTGTCTAGCTTTTTCTACACCCCAAAAAAGCCTACGAGTACTAGGTGCATAGGAAGAAGACGAAGGGCTAGAAACTACAAACATCCTTTTCCCTGTGCTGCTCTGGCCTGTAGAGCGCTGCCTGTCTGGACAGATGCTTGGTCAGGACATCTGAACCACCAAGGGCAGGGCAAATGACCAGAGTTCCCTGTCTCAGGCCCATCATGTCTTCACGACTGCTGTACTTTATATCTGTCCTGCCTCTGGCCCTGTCACCATCTCCATGGCTCCTTCTCTGATTGACAGCTGCCTCTGCCACTGCTGGAAGTCCAAAGGCAGAGCTTAGCAGAGACCCTCACCACTCAGACCTGGACGGTAAGGCTTAGCCCCACAGGGTAGGAGCCAGAGCTCAGGGTTCTCTCTGGGGTGGGTCTTCCCTCCTACTCCAGCTCAGCTCTGGGGTAAGTGTCTGTGGTTCTCTTCTCCTGTCCCTAATGCCAGCCTTCAGCCCACATCTGTAAAATTTCTAACTACACACCCTTCAAAATCTATCTCAAGTACCACCTTTTTAAGGTAGTGTTGGGAGCAATGCTACATAATTCTAAGGAAAAATCATTTGAGTAGGCCTAGTTCTCCTGCCTATAGGCCAGCAATAACACTCCAAGACATACTTCCATTTTGACCTCAGGTCACAAGGGAGATCTCAATGATCCCATGATGCTGTAATCCTCCAGGACAAGACCACACCTGTGGGAGATGCCCTGGGAGGAACCAAATCTTCATCTGTGTAGTTCCTGGGAGGAACTAAATCTTCATCTGCATAGTTCCTCATTGTTCTTAGATTACCGCTGCCCCCACCCAGTTTTTTGTTTTATGTGAAAGTGTTTAGGAAAAGTGAGCACACCCAACAATACCTTGACCCTATATATTGTGAGGATCTATAGTGTGTTTGACTGGCTTAGCTGTCTATAAGCATAATTTCTATTAATTGGGGCTGTAAAAGGATTAAAAAATCTAACAATTTGTTTTTAAACATTGGGTTTAAAAACTTAAAACTTTTGCTGAACTCAAGTAGCTATTGTCTTATATAGTTATACTTTTCTACAGGATGTTCAAGACCAAGTTACAGTGAGAGCTATATTAAACAAAGTCAATCTCTTGTTATCTAACAAGGTCAATTAAGTCTCCACAGGCACTGTCTTGGAACCATGCATAGAGCCTCTTAGCTCCTCTGTCAGTGTCAGCCATCAGGATATGTCACGGCCTTGCTTGACCATGTTGCTTCCTGCGAAAGCAAGGGAGATTTTTTTCCTCCAGGTGACATTCCTTTGGCACACTTTTTGTTGGATCTTTACTGTTTTGGTGTTCAGCAACCTCCCTGCTCAGGAGGTTGGGTGACTCACCAAAAATGCAGGATCTTGGAGATGGTTCCCTCAAGGTAGTTTTCATTGATTCATTAAATTTCAAAATGAATTTCTGCCTTTTTCACCTTGTTATTATAAAAATCAAGACTGCGCGTTGTATCAGGCAATCTTTATTGTTTCTCTGTTCTGACTTTTTGTCTTAATACTAATTTCTACAGCTTATGTCATGCATTGAAGGTGAGTATGGTGGCACATTTGTATCCTTAGACTGTGAACCCCACGAGGGAAAAGATGGGCTCTTTTCTGCTGGGTTCACCCCTCCCTACTGCCTGCACTAGCCACCCAGGAAGCCTTGGAAGTCATTAATTAAGCATGGTCTTGATTTCACTCATTGCTGCTTTGATTTATTCATTTGGCTCCTTAATTATCCATCTCATTCAATTCCATTTTTTACGTGGAGTGTGAAGACCTGCTTTTCCTGCTTGATTCAGAATGTGGCACTCATTTAATTAAATAAGTCAGAATAATTGGGAGGTGATTCTACTCAAACATATATATATATTTATATATATAAATGATTCTAGTCAAATATATATATATATATATATCTGATGTGACTCTCATCCTTCAACACTGGAGGAAAGACATGAGTATTGCTAAGGCAACCACATTGTTGCACATCCCATCTTCACTTAGGGACTTACCAGTTGTCAGCAGTAGGGACCATCCCCCAGAGATCTAGCCCATCTTCCGTCAAAGTGCCTGTCTGAATAAAAGAACTGACATTAACATAAGATTTAAAGCTTTTAATAATGTTGTGACTGAGACAAAAATCCAAGCTTCTAAAAAGTTACCATAGATGCAGCTGTCAAAATCTCTCTATTGGTGAGCATTGAACTTTAAATCTGGTGATACATCATTCCCCAAAGACTATGTTGAAACTCAGGTGATTCTTGTTACTAACTGGAGGCAAAATGCAATCACTTTGTGCTGATTTTGTCTATTGTTGTCTGTTGCTGCTGTTAGGGGAGAAGCTAAGTGGAAATTCAGCCAGGACCAGCTCAAATTTGACTCTTCAGTGGGCACCTGCTGTCTGTCCAAAGAAGAGCTCAGGATTTTTTTTCTTTCTTTCCAAGATTGTTTAGTTCACAATTTGCCATCTGGTTCATCATAATTTTCTAAAAATATGGGTTATGTGGTGATGGTCCAAATAGATAATGAAATGTTGATAAAGGACTTTCAGGCTATAGAGAGAACTAAGTGCTAATAATAAATACTAATTAATGCCTACTAATGGGTTTTATTGTTAGATTCAGAGGAAAATGGTCAGGGGACATGATATGCTGTATTACGGAGAAGTATTTGCCAGACAATGTAACAGAGAACATGAAATGAAACTGACCACTACCGAAGCACTTTTCATTTCCTCATTGCTTCTAGACAATTCATTAACCGCAAGCGTGGTGCCTTTTGTGGCAGGTGAACAGCATCGGGCCTGCTCACCACCCAGAGTAGGCTGAACTGGTGGGGCAGAGCTTTCCCAAACACTGCAGAATAGTTTCTTCCAGCATCTCTGAATGATAAGGTCATCTCTGAATGATACGCTGAGCTTTCTAGTTTCCTGTGAAGTCACATCCATCATCACAGCACATCACATTCTCATAAGGGTTTACAGCTTTACAGCACAGTGCCTACAATGCCTTTCATTCTTATAAGTGAGCAGATGGGGCAGAAACAGGCTGAGGGGAGGGGGCTGCAGGTTGGCGAGGCAGGACCAGAATCCAGCCCTTCTGCAGTCTTGAGCCACAAGACATGTTATGTGAATTTTGTGGGGCATGTGGAAACACACTGCCCACTCTGAACTTTCATTTTCAAGAATTAAGGAACCTTTGTGTCACTAATTTATTTGGACTTCATGAAGAAAAGAGCAGGCATGCCTATGTGAGATGTGTTTTGCACAGTAACAACTTTAAAAATAAGTTGCTTGCTTCCTTTTCCTTCTGCATCATGTATGGACCTCAACCTGTGCTTTCAGTTTCGAAATAGCCTTGGGTTGTTCCACTTCAGAAAGACTTAGCAACATTATTCAAACCGAAATGTTTTCCTGATAATTAAATTATGTTTCTAAACATCAATATTTTGAACAGAAAACAGAGATGATTCTGAAGCAAAACAGAAGTGAGAACATGTTATTGCTCTATGTGAAAATGACCCTTAGACAAGAAAATTAACCATAAATGAAAAGAAAACCATATCATACCCATAGCTATAGTTCTAAAGGGAATAAGATAGAAAAAGGAAGCCTCTTAGCATACATACAAGCCCAGGCTTGGGCCAAAGTGAATGAAAAATAAAGAAAGAGAGAACTTAACTTAGAGGATTTCTAATAAACAAATATAAACTAGAAACATATATGGGAATAAATGTACTCCAAAACCCAGTGATAGACATCTTCTAAATTGAAATACTCTGAATGGAAATTCAATTAATTGTGGAGGTTCTTATTGCAACATTGCATTGATATAGTTTTATAATATGAAAACTGGAAAATAACCCTTGGAGAAAATTATAGTTCAACCATTTTATCTCAAAAAATTTTCACAGAAACTCGGTGTCTAACTCAGGATTTGATTTCTCATTTTGCCATTTCCAAATCAAGAGTTCTTTGCACTCTAATATGCTATCTTTCCACAAGAAGTTTGGCCACTGGAGCCTCAGACAGTCCCATAACAAGGAGCCAAGGAGGCTGAGGCAAAAGTTGTATACAGGAAGTAAAATGGCAGCCTCTGAGGAAAATAAGTGTTTGAAACAGATGAAGAGGTAGTGAACATATTTTGTACATAGCCCTCCTGACATAAGTGACACTGTTGGATAAGTAATTAGGAATCCCTATCAGAAAACTTGCAAAGAATTATTATCTGGTCCTGAATCTAAAATGAAACTATTTGCTAAATTAACCATACCAGTTCCTGACTGATAGCAGTTGAGGACCTTCTTTGCCCAATGCAAGGAGAAGAGAAAGAGGCCTGAAATAATCTGAGAGATGTGCCACTTCCGCCTGGGGACCAGGTGGCTCAGGCCTCCTCATGGGGCTTCTCCGGCCTGTCCTCCACTCTCCTGTTCTTGGCTCCTCCTCGCAGATCATGAATGGTCTCTTCAGGTAGCCTTGTCCCCAGGTAGCCTCCTCCCTCTGTGCTATTTCTGTTCCAACCCTTCTCCCCAATTACCCCAGGTGGAATACATAAAACATCTATAATAATGTCCCTCTTCACCTTAAAATAAATAATAGGGCCCCCATTCTCCTTCCAGCTACATCAGCCAGCCTCCAGACAGCCCTTCCGACCACACCCCGCTGCCCTCTGCCCCACATGTGCATTGCTCTCACACCCTGGGCTGTGAACCGCTCACTTCAGAGTCTGACAAAGGTACAGCTCCGAGGGGACCTCTCGCCTACAGCAGGTAACCATGCTGAGGTGCTTAATGAAGATGTGGCCTCCACTAAGCCTGCAACTCTTGGTTTCCTGCGGTCTCATTTTCCCTACATCCTCAGCTGGACTATGAATTCCTAAAGAGCTCAGACTGTCTCATTAGCAGTACTCTCCACCACACTGTGCCCAGCTGCCGCTCTCTGCCAATGTGGGTTAACTACAAAATGCCCAAAGCCTGGATCAGTGATTCCAGTGCAGCGGACCTGAGACAGGGAGGGCCCATCGAGGCCCAGGGCATTGCAGCAGTCAGACTGGACTCTCAGGCCAAAAGCAGGATCTGAACAATGGTCACCGAAGCTGAAGTTCCTCTGGTGCCTACAGGTGAAGCATGAGACGAGTCTCAGGTCCTCCCAGGCTGGCACAACCCCCCCCCACACCACCACCACCACCTTTCTGGGCATCAGAGACAGAAGCTGCCGTCCCTAGCCTGCAGTCCTGGGGAGCAAGGCAGGAAGAGTGACGGAAGAGTGACAGAAGTGTGTAAATAGCAAAGGTCATTGCCACTGTCCCCTCCCTCCCTTCATTACAAGAAGCAGGGGAGGAGGAAGCAGTTCACTTAAGGGCTAGACAAAGCATCTTGTGAAACAGAAATGTTCCACACATTTTTGCCTGAAAAAGATAGCCCACCATAAAAACTCTTAGAGCAAAAGAATATTTGAAAACACAAAACAGGCACAAAAAATACTAAATATCACAGGAAAAAGAATTTCCTGATGCAATGGTCCAACTGCTACCCATGGAGTGGGCTTCCAGAATGGGATCTCACGGTGTGTCCTCCATTGGCCTCAGTTTTCTCATCTGTACAGTGGGTGTCCTAGACTAGACATACCCAGGACCCTTCCCTGTCCTCTAGGCCTCAACATCACCTGCCTTCAACCAGGAAAGTTGGGACCCTACTTTGTCAAAGCACACGAGGTTGATCTGCCCACACATGTTGATTCTCTGCGGGGAGATGCAGAAGATCTTCTTCTTCTTCAGCCTCTTCTGAGCATACACAATGCCGATGGTCAGAGCCGCCGGCAGCACAGGAGGGACGGTCACAGTCAGGAGGAGCAGGGCCATGGTTGTTGTATCTCTTGGAGAAACCTGGGGGCAACAGGAATGCTTAGGTTATACCACTTTCTGCAGTACCAGAAAGATCCTCAGAGGTCATCAATGACAATCCTTCCCTCCTGGCTGTCATCCTGTGAAAAGAGGCATCAAAATAAAACCAGACACTGTGTAGTTTAAAGGGATCTTAGATTATTGAATCCCTGGATGGAATGAGCGCTATGAAAGTATATATTAAATTTCATTTCAGGACCCAAGCAGAAAACATGAGAAAGGGTTGAAGACTACCTGGGACACTTTAAGTACTTCAGGGAAAAGTTGAGGTCACATGTGGCATTCAAGATCTCTTCAGTCTGATCCACTCCCACCTTGCAGGAGTTGTCTCTTAATTACTCATAAGATTCAGAAGACCCTGCTGGTCTTTTTCTTTGTGGTTTGCTCAAAACAAATTAGTGTGCCCTTCTTACTGTCTGGCCTGATTGACTAAATCCCCCATCGTCTCATCCAGTTTGAGAAATATGTAATGATGGGAAGTTATCTAGGGTTGAGAGGGTTGAGTAGTGCAAATATCAACCCCTTATTCCAAACCAACTGGTAGAAACCATCAGCGACCTTCAAAATTTCTCATAACTGCACTACCCAACATGATTGGATTGCCACTAACCACATGTGGCTGTTTAACTTACATTAATTAAAATGAAACAAATGAGAATTCATTTCATCAGTCATATTAGCCACATTTGAAGTGCTCAGTAAGTTCATATGGCTAAGTGCTACCATGCTGGGGAGTATGGATAAGGAATAGAGCTATCATCTAAGAAAGCTCTTTGGGCAACACTGATTCAGGGAATGCTAGGATCAAGAGGTACCCTTAACTAACTCCCTTGAGTTAGGTCAAGCTCTTGAGAAGCCATACATACCCCAAGTACTTACTTCATGGTACATGTATATCCCTAGGGCATAGAAAAATCCCAGAACACCAAGGCAGGCCAGAAACACCATGAACTTGAAGGCATCACTGTATAACTTGAAGTTCAGAGGCCGGGGGTAGAGGATAGATCTCACCAAGTCCCCTTTTGCTGTATTATAACCTACATGAAAATAATCAGAGATGGAGTCAGGCCCTATAGCAGTTTCCTTCCAAACCAGAAATACTGTTGTTGGGGTCTTTGGAGCAAGGAATAAAAACAGCATTGCTCTGACCCAATAGTGCGTTTGCCTTCCTTGTTACAAATCATCAAGGTTGGGGGGGTCAATGGCACTACTTAGCCCCATTCATTTTCTCTTGTTTGGGAGACAGTGCCTCTTTGGCTCCCCTCGGTATAGCTTCCCATCCCCCCATGGGTTGAGAAAGACTAGACTGAGGAATTGAAGAATGTAGCAAGCAGAGAAAATGAGATGACAAGCGATGACTCCAAAGCAAGTAAGTATTGGAAACAAATATGTGTTGAAAAATAATTAAAAATTAAAAGAAAAATAATGCACAAGGAAGTAATTTCTTAAAACTATATATGTATAAGCCTATGATGATTATGTCATCTGGTGATCCAAAACCTTCCAGAGCCCCCATTTTCTTAGGATGAAATAAAATTCCTAGGCATGGCATTCAAGGTCATTTTCAATCTGATCTGTCTCTAGCTTACTGGACTGATCTTGTCATCATTTATTGGTCTCAGAAGACCCTGGAAATTCCTTCTTTTGTATTTTATAATTTAAATTAGTTTATCCTTCTAGTTCTGATATGATTGGTTAAACCCTCACCCGTGCTATCAGCCTTTGTTCAAAATGCCACTTCATCAAATAAGGGTTTCTGCAATTAAACTCCCATACTTTATACCAAAAATAACTTATCATATTGTTTTGAGTCCCTGTAACACTCGGTCATATGACATCTACCTCCACTCTATGTTTTAGTCAGCTGTAAATTTGACTATAAAGTTCTTTAAGGAAAAGGTGCATCCCACAAATTTTTCTTTAGTCCTTAATACATAACAAATCATAAATACTCACTAGTCTCCAGATTATTGGGTAAAATGATTACTGTATATGCTAAATATGAGTCAGCATTGGTAAGTATAAAACATGTCTTATCCTCACTGCTGGATGGACACCTATTTTCTCAAATATGGCTTTCCTGCCTTTGGAGAACAGAAATATAGTTTCCTCCTACTTGCTACCTAGGCATTTTAAAGTTCTCAAGTGGTTTTTATGATCTGTAACCACGAGTTTTCAGTTAAGAAACAACCTTAGCAATGCTCTAAAACTCACTAATTTTAATGTAAACTAGTCATAAATTTAATTAAAAATGACCAGCCAAGACAACAAAATTATAGAGCAAACCAAAGCAGAGCAGTATCAAAGTGCAAGGTGTGTTTTATTTCTATGACTATGTGGCATGGCAGAAACATGAGTCGGGGCTGAGAACAGTGAGCTGGGACCAGGTCATGGAAAGCCTTGGTGTGTAATGCCATGTGAAAGTCTGATACTAATATAGCTGGCCATGAAAAAGTTTTTGAGCATGGTATGCGTGGACTACTACAGACTATGTTTTGGAAATGTGACTCTGGTGAAAGTTTAGAGAAAGATTGGGGCAAAAGTGGAAAGGGAAGAGTCAAAAGAGTATTTATGTTGTAATAGCTTAGATGTGTGGAGACAAAAACCTACACAAACCAGCAACCAGGGGAATGAAGGAGGGCGGACAGGTCTCAGGAGACACTAGTGCAATCACAGGGATTTGGTGCCCATTGAGAGAAAGTGAGGAGTTAGAGACGCTATTGAGAGACTTGTTAGATGATGATGCTCTTAACACAGAGAGCCAATACAGGATGAGTTCACATTCAGGTGCCTGACTTTGAAGTGTCTGTAGAGCACTCAGATGGAGGTATCCAGCAGGAAGTTTAATGCACAGCCTCGCAAGCAACTCTTTGAACAGACCGTAGTTGACAGTGACTTTGGCAATCACTGAGGGGCTGTGTTGAGAAAAAAGAGAAGAAGCTATGGGCATAAGCCAACCCAATATCACTGTTTTGCCTTGAAGGTAACCTATATCATCTGTGTATATCTTCTGCCCTATACAGGGGTTTTAATAATAAACCATTCAGTTAAAATGTGGCAATTCAAAATAATAAAGGTCTGATTAGAAAAGAATGGCTTCCAGGCTGCCATTCCACCACTCCCAGCCCAGAGGTAGGGGATTCTGGGTTGCCATTCCACTGATCCCAATGCAGAGGAGGTGAGCCATGTGGGCACCAACAACACCGCCCCCCCATTGAAATGAGAAGACACATAAACAAGTCTCAAAACCGGATTTCCAGCTCACCTACAGCAACCCCAAAGGGAAAGGAGATGGAACACTCTGATACTCAACCACCTGGACTCTCTGAACTGGCAACAAAAGAGGATCTGGAAAAAATGAAATCAGAAATAATTTCTCACATAAAAGCAGAGATTGTGCCCATAGTACAAGACAGGATTAAAAAATCTAGAGAGGACACAGATAAAAAAAAATAGAGGAGCTGAGGAACATGATGGAATCCCAACACAGGAAACAGATGGAATCTATAAAACTGATACAAACAGATTTCAAGGAGATTAAAAACACCATTGAAAGTCTACACAGCAGAATGAACCAATGTGAGGACAGAATTTCAGATATAGAAGATAAGATTGCAATAAGTGACCAGGAAAAAAATTGCTTTAAAATTATAAGGGACCATGAGAAATCACTCCAGCAGCTACTAGACAATGCAAAGAAGAATAACGTAAGACTGATTGGAGTCAATGAAGAAACAGGAGAGAGTGCAGATGACATTAAAAAAAACTATTCACAGAAGTGATGGCAGAAAACTTCCCAAGCAGGAGAAAAGAACATGACATACAGATTAGTGAGGCATATAGGA